TGTTGTATTTTGTTGTTTAGTAATCAAAAACCTTTGACAAGATGTTAAAAGAATATAAATATTCTATCTTGAATAGTTCTGAAAATATTTTTGAGTATTTTTTAGTTTTAGTTTGGTTTCTGAAATCACACAATATGAATCGTCATTGCAGACGATCTTTTGAATAGTGAAAGTGTCGCGCAAAAAAAAAAAAATTACAGACTTTTTTAATCAAAATAGATGTTCTAAAAAAGACATTGATGAAACCACAGTCACTGTAATTACTACTGATAGAAAAAATCGCAAAGCATTGTTATTCATTTCAGTTCTTCATTCTGATCTGTTACACTTTTATATGATGATGTTCCAGTACATAATTATACAAAGTAAGACATTTTTGAAGAAAGCAGTTATTCCCCCCTACTTTTTCAAAATCCTCCCTATTTTCTACATAATGGGGGGACAAGTCCCCCTTGATTTTCAATTCTGGGTTGGACACTGGGTTATGCAGTATTTTATCAAGATCACGTGGACCAATCAGATCTCATCATTCTGAAATGGAGGTATGATAAAAGATTTTATACAGTCTGTGGTGAAATTGTATGTGTTGGCGTACACATCCTTGATTATTTAGAGCAGACTGTGCCAAAAGATTTGATTCTGAACTTGGCTCATGACATCAGTTTCAGTAGATTTTATATCATTACATATATATCCTTGGCATATTATCTGCTGAACATTGCTAGACCAAAGATAATTTTACGAGACTCTAGCTTCAGACTTGGCCAGACTATCAGACTATTTCAATTCTGTAATGATGTAATGACACATTAACTACCAAAGATTCAGAAATGATGCAGCCATTTCTGTCTGTCACTGTATCCAGGAATTTCTCACCGGATTTCTCAAACAAGGAAGTGCCACCTAGTGTGTGTAAATCGAAACAAAGCTATGGCAGTGAATGAGTCCAGGGATTCTGTGATAATCATGACAATCACAAATCCTATACTTAGACTTGCGACAGTTATAGTGCAGCATCAGCAGCGAAAGAAATTGGCACCTAGCCCCATAATCCTTGCCCAATAGTTAAGGTATCACAAGGGCTAGTAGAAATTTTTAAGGCATTTTTTACTCATTTAGGTCATTGACTCTGAACCAAAGAAAATTATTAAGTCAATGGCAAAATTCAGTAAGTCAAAAAAAACAAAAAAAACAATTCTGTTTGGACAGTCTTTAATCAGTTCACAAATGCCAATATACCATGTATACCCTCATTTCAAATTAAACAAAAGACTTTTCTTTTTTTCCCAGTGATATTGTGCACCAGAAAACTTTACTTCTTCCATTTGTTTGCCTTACAGACTAATCGTAACAAGAAATCAATGCAATATCAATCGTGATTAGATGAATATATACAATCTGGCCAATGAACGCTGCGATAAAAAAAATTGTGACTAAGTCACTATAGGTCCTGACAGCTTTTCACTTTGATACAGAAAGTACGATGCAACATGTGAAAAGACACATGCTGCCCAGAATTTCAATTACTATCTTTTATAGCTGTGCATTGTTGTATTAAATCGCTACTGTGAGCATGGCAAGTAGGACTAATCTTTACTACTTACTATTGAATTATGAAATTATGAAATGAGTGATCATGGCGATGCCTTGCTTGCATTTGTATTGGTCAAAAGTCCAACAACTTATGCAAACCATCTGTCAAATTGAAATTTTATCAGTCTATGTTCAACGGCCATCTAAAACACTGTAACGGTTTTGCTGTATATGGTGTCATTATGAGGACCAGTGGACTAAAAATGTGAGGTAAATATCTTGATAAAATGAAGATAAGGCGACACTTTTTTTATTTCTTGGTTTACGGATTTCAAACTCATTTCAAAAGTGAAAAAAAAAGCCTCTCACATTTTTTTTACTTGAATTTTGTCCTAAAAAGTTAGGTAGGTATGAAAAAAAATATCCTGGCGTAACAAAAGTAAAATAACTTAATTTTTCAAGAACATTTTATTATATCCCTGGCACTCAGCTTGTGCACAAATGGCAACATAACAATATTCATGTCATGGATGGAAATACATGAAAGACGCTGCTATTTTGGCAGCATGGGCAACGTTTAACTCTTTCAACACCAGACAACCAGAAGATTACTGCTGTGACACCAAGTTCCCAGAGACTCTTGTGTGATAGATGAAACCAACATTTATCAAGGATATTATCTGCTGAAATTAACTTCTTTGCTACTACATGTTTGGCCATACACTATTTGAAAGGTCTAATTAATCCTATTGTTTATAAATATGAAAGTTATGTGTATTACATTATTTAAATAATTCATTAACAGCTAAATAAAGTTCGTTTTAAATAAAAATAATGTAAGCTAAAACATTCATAGCGTCCAGATTAAGGACCAATGAAGAGCAAATTTAACGATTTTTTCGGCAAATATAAGAATTCATAAAATCCACTTACCCATTTCTTTTTTATTTTCATTTGTTTACGTTGTTGGAACGTTATTTTAAAAAAGAATTACAAATAATATCTGTCATCACCCATTTCCCGATGATAGTGGCTGTCCGCTTACTAGCATGAGGAAATACCTCCGTTTTCAAAGCTTCGTATGAATAAAACATACGTCGAAGGCTGCCATGTCAGTATACATTAAAAAAACTTATATTGTTTCACCAACAAAATCTGCTACAAGGTTCGTGATTGGTCAAATTTAAGCACGTGACCTAAGGCAGCCAATCAAATTACAAAATGGTAATTTTCAGACTTTGGCGAAAGGTTTGGGTTAAATCATGTTATTTTGAACGATTAAGCATGAAATCGCATTCTATATTAAAAATATGGAACTTAATGGATGCATAGAGCTAGGTTACGAGCTGTGACAAAAGATTTCTTATGCATATATTTTGGCATTAAGACATCGTGTCCGAGCCGAGAAATCGAGGCAACGAAAGGCGAGATGTCATTTGACTGACGATTACATGTGATCGCACGAAAAGTTGGAAATAATAACTAAGATGTCAGTTTGGCAACTTTTATAGATTATATTTTTGATGATTTTATTACTTTGTAAATAAAGACGTTTCAGCACGTGGAACGTCTTTATTTTGCTGTTTGACATGTTCGATGAGGACCCGTTGTCGAAGTGTGTCCGAGAATTTTATTTTCAATAACTTTGCGGGAAATAGAGTCTAGTTAATACATTTTTGATCTATAGATAAAGAAATGATAAAATCAAATGGAATACGTATTTCAGACATTGTGAAATGTGATAGATTTAATAAATGAATGATATGACAGGTAGGTTAATATAATTATAAACTATTTTGACGTGACTTGGACGGTCTACCGTGCGGTGTGACTTGTGGCTTTGAACGGCCAACAGTGTTGAAATAGTTAAACTGGTCACCACTGCGCTTTGCGTTGACAAGTTTTGATGGTATTAGAGAAGGATCCCAGCAAGAAATATCAGAGTGACTTCCCTTTGCTTTACCCTCGATGAGGAAATGAAATCTTTTTTTTGTTTTAACTTTTTGTTGAAAAGATTGGTGTTAATAAAAAAAAGGGTAATTTTCATTTTTATTTTTATTTGACATTTGGACTTTGAAAGAGCGGTGCATCCGTAAACCAAGAAATAAAAAAATTGTCGCCTAATGGATGACGATGCATACGTTACAGTGCCTATCTGGGCAAGCTGCATTCATTCTTGTCTGCAGTGATCATGCTCAATCATGTGGCACACATCAGAGATGGGTGTTTGAAATCTGCTGCATCTTTGCATTCTTTCCAGAAGTTAAATCCAACAACTTATTGTATGTTTACTGATTACACAAATGTAAAATATACCAGCTGATATACATGAAATCTAATCGTGTGAGTACTTCCTCCTGGAAATGATTATGAAGTACTTTAGTGCTATTGCAATTAAATGATTACAATTAAACCACAAAGGTATGGATTGAAAAGGGCGGCTGTCAGCCTGCTGACAAACAATATGCATCCGTGTTTCAAGGGGAGAATTCAGCAATTGTAATTTGATCTATTTAAAACCAACTGAGATCAGGAACACAATGGTTAAACCATATTCATTGTGTATAGAGGATTAAGATTGTGATACACAAAAAAAGAGATGTTATACATTGGCGATAAGTAATTACAGGTAGGACAGTGTTACAGATGTTTTGGATTTTGCATCTGTTGTATTATCCTGAGTTCACAATGTTATTTCTATGCCAAACTGATCCTATCTGAATGATGTTTTTTTGGTCCATTGTTATTGTTGCAAAAAGGTGGAAACATTGCCAGTGCAACCATAATTTGCATCTCATCTCACTCACCCTGTGGGGGCACGGGTGGCACAGTCACGATTGTGTGCAGAGTTGCGCCCCTTGGGCCCGCCAGAAATCTATGATTGTGGGTTGGAATCCTGGTTCGCCCTGATTATGTTTCTAGGTTTGTCAGCTCCATAGCCGTGCTCGTGGGTTTCACCCAAGTGGTAAACGTCAAAGACCTGCATCACTTCTGGCTTTTATACCACATTAAGCTGACACGCTGTGATATAACTGGAATACTGTTAAAAGCGGCACTAAACCCAACTCACTCACTCACCCTGTAATCAAATCTGGTTTATTGGAGATCCCAACACAAAGATCAAGTGTCTTTGTTCATAGATATTAAGGGTGCACAGTTTTATTGGTATATCGGTAAACTGAGATATATTCTTTCCACGATATGTATCACAAGATCATTTTTTTATGCTCGATATACATGATATATGGGTTGAATTCAAATAGAGATAATTATTATTGGTTTAATGTTATGCACTTGCCAAAACCCTTCTGCCTTGGAGCGAGCATCCAGGGTCCCCAAGATGGCTGCATATTTATTGAATTAGTTAACATTATGTTGTGCCGGCATCTTGTTTTGGTTTATTTATGAACTTCAATTCATACAATGACGTTTCAGATTGCTTCCATTTCGTGTATTTTTTTGTTTAGGTTGGCCCCTGGTGACCATTACGCTGGCTGTGCAGGTTCTGCACGGAGATTTGGGGTTGGACCGCAGAGCCCACACAAACATGCCCATGGATCCGGACAACAATGCACAGGTAGGCCGCAATGCTTGTCTCATATTAGACAAATACAGGCCATGCTGCAGTTTCTTTTGGTATGTCACCAGTTCTTGTGTTCAGTATGGGTGTGCTATTATGACAGATTCTTCTGGTAGGTTGGCCATGCCAATGTTTGATATGGGATGCTATTATGACAGATTCTTCTGGTAGGTTGACCGTGCCAATGTTTGATATGGGATGCTATTATGACAGATTCTTCTGGTAGGTTGACCGTGCCAATGTTTGATATGGGATGCTATTATGACAGATTCTTCTGGTAGGTTGACCGTGCCAATGTTTGATATGGGATGCTATTATGACAGATTCTTCTGGTAGGTTGACCGTGCCAATGTTTGATATGGGATGCTATTATGACAGATTCTTCTGGTAGGTTGACCGTGCCAATGTTTGATATGGGATGCTATTATGACAGATTCTTCTGGTAGGTTGACCGTGCCAATGTTTGATATGGGATGCTATTATGACAGATTCTTCTGGTAGGTTGACCGTGCCAATGTTTGATATGGGATGCTATTATGACAGATTCTTCTGGTAGGTTGACCGTGCCAATGTTTGATATGGGTGTGCTATTGTGAGATATTATTCTGGTAGATTGGCCATGCTTGTGTTCAGTATGGGTGTGTTATTATGACAGATTCTTCTGGTAGGTTGGCCGTGCCTATGTTTGATATTGGTGTGCTATTGTGAGATATTATTCTGGTAGATTTGCCATGCTTGTGTTCAGTATGGGTTTGCTATTATGACAGATTCTTCTGGTAGGTTGGCCATGCTTGTGATCAGTTTGAAGAAGAAGAAGAAGAAGAAGTTTTTTTCATAAATGAAGGCCAAAAAAATTCATTTACAGGAATAATATATACTATGCACAAGCACAAATTTTCTTACAACAAACATTCCTCTTTTTTTACATTTGTATTTACAAATTACATAGGTAAATGTCTTTTTAGATATATATGGACAGGTTTTTAATAACACAATCATTTCTGGGAGATATAAGACTGATACATTTGGGGACAGATGGTTGTACATGGTAACATTTTGGAATTAAATTTTTTATACCATGATACTAATTTTATGAAAAGGACAAATTAACAAAAAATGATAGACTCTATTCATTTTCTATTTCATAGAGGTTACATTTCATACACAAACTAAACGATGACTCTGTAGTTGTATTAAATCAGGTTTTCTGTACATTTAGATTATGGCTTACAGCGGTAGAAACTAATGTTTTTAGGCCACTAGTCCTTATAATGATAACATATAGCAAAACCCTTAAAAGCTGCAAATTTCTACTAGTCCTTACGATACCTTAACTATTGGGCAGTTTGGCAAGGACTACAGGACTAGTGCCAATTTCACTGGGCTTAAACAACGGGATTTACATAAGCTCTAAGAAGATCTCTTTCACATGCTAAAGTAGACCGATGTTTTTCTGGTTCGAGTAGTGATGTATCGGATATCTTGTTTCGTGTAATCTAAGTAGCCGACACCAGTACTTAATACAATGACTGTAATAGTGTACACACAGTGATGTTCCTCCCAGCTCTCCTAGAATTGCATTTGTTGATGTTCTTTTACCAACGGAAAGAACACTTTAAAAGAAATTACTCAGAACCTTTTCAATGCTATTTCTATAGGCACATCCCCAAATTTCTGGGCCATATAAAAGAACAGTAGCAATCTTTGAATCAAATATTTTAGCAGCAGTAGAAAATGGGAGAGATGGGAATTTCTTTATCATATTTAACACAGGAAAAGCCGCTTTCCTTGCTTGAATAGCTAATGTATCACAAGCTTTAGTCCAAACAAGCCTTGAAGAGAATAGACCCAGGTATTGGAAATATGATACAGCTTTAGTTTGCGAACCACTATAAAACCATTTCTCAGTTTTCCTCAGATAACCACCCTCTCTAAAAACTATGACTTTTGTCTTATCTAAATTAACTTCAAGGCCCCATTTGTCACAATAAGAGTGTAAAGCATCTAGTTTTCTCTGCAGTCCAATTACACAATTGTCATTGAGAGTGACATCATCAGCAAGTAATAATAACATGATTTCATCAAAATTATCTAACACAAATATGCATCTTACCCCAAGAATCTCTATTTCACATACTAACTTGTTTATAAAAAGTATAACAAGAACAGGACTTAACATGCATGTGATAAGTTTGGGGTCCTATCATGACAGATTGTTCTGGTAGATTGGCCGTTCTTGTGATCAGTTTGGTGTGCTATTATGACAGATTGTTCTGGTAGATTGGCCGTTCTTGTGATCAGTTTAGTGTGCTATTATGACAGATTGTTCTGGTAGATTGGCCGTTCTTGTGATCAGTTTAGTGTGCTATTATGACAGATTGTTCTGGTAGATTGGCCGTTCTTGTGATCAGTTTAGTGTGCTATTATGACAGATTGTTCTGGTCGACTGGTTTTGCATGTGATCAGTTTGGTGTGCTATTATTACAGATTGTTCTGGTCGACTGGTTTTGCATGTGATCAGTTTGGTGTGCTATTATGACAGATTGCTCTTGTAGGTTGACCGTGCCAATGTTTGATATGGGTGTGCTATTGTGAGATATTATTCTGGTAGATTGGCCATGCTTGTGATCAGTTTAGTGTGCTATTATGACAGATTCTTCTATTAGGTTGGCCGTGCCAATGTTTGAATTGGATGCTATTATGACAGATTCTTCTGGTAGGTTGACCGTGCCAATGTTTGATATGGGTGTGCTATTGTGAGATATTATTCTGGTAGATTGGCCATGCTTGTGATCAGTTTAGTGTGCTATTATGACAGATTCTTCTATTAGGTTGGCCGTGCCAATGTTTGAATTGGATGCTATTATGACAGATTCTTCTGGTAGGTTGGCCGTGCCTATGTTTGATATTGGTGTGCTATTGTGAGATATTATTCTGGTAGATTGGCCATGCTTGTGTTCAGTATGGGTTTGCTATTATGACAGATTCTTCTGGTAGGTTGGCCATGCTTGTGATCAGTTTGAAGAAGAAGAAGAAGAAGAAGTTTTTTTCATAAATGAAGGCCAAAAAAGTTCATTTACAGGAATAATATATACTATGCACAAGCACACATTTTCTTACAACAAACATTCCTCTTTTTTTACATTTGTATTTACATTTTACATAGGTAAATGTCTTTTTAGATATTTATGGACAGGTTTTTAATAACACAATCATTTCTGGGAGATATAAGACTGATACATTTGGGGACAGATGGTTGTACATGGTAACATTTTGGAATTAAATTTTCTATACCATGATACTAATTTTATGAAAAGGACAAATTAACAAAAAATGATAGACTCTATTCATTTTCCATTTCATAGAGGTTACATTTCATACACAAACTAAACGATGACTCTGTGGTTGTATTAAATCAGGTTTTCTGTACATTTAGATTATGGCTTACAGCGGTAGAAACTAATGTTTTTAGGCCACTAGTCCTTATAATGATTACATATAGCAAAACCCTTAAAAGCTGCAAATTTCTACTAGTCCTTACGATACCTTAACTGTTGGGCAGTTTGACAAGGACTACAGGACTAGTGCCAATTTCACTGGGCTTAAACAACGGGATTTACATAAAGCTCTAAGAAGATCTCTTTCACATGCTAAAGTAGACAGATGTTTTTCTGGTTCGAGTAGTGATGTATCGGATATCTCGTTTCATGTAATCTAAGTAGCCGACACCAGTACTTAATACAATGACTGTCATAGTGTACACACAGTGATGTTCCTCCCAGCTCTCCTAGAATTGCATTTGTTGATGTTCTTTTACCAACGGAAAGAACACTTTAAAAGAAATTACTCAGAACCTTTTCAATGCTATTTCTATAGGCACATCCCCAAATTTCTGGGCCATATAAAAGAACAGTAGCAATCTTTGAATCAAATATTTTAGCAGCAGTAGAAAATGGGAGAGATGGGAATTTCTTTATCATATTTAACACAGGAAAAGCCGCTTTCCTTGCTTGAATAGCTAATGTATCACAAGCTTTAGTCCAAACAAGCCTTGAAGAGAATAGACCCAGGTATTGGAAATATGATACAACTTTAGTTTGCGAACCACTATAAAACCATTTCTCAGTTTTCCTCAGATAACCACCCTCTCTAAAAACTATGACTTTTGTCTTATCTAAATTAACTTCAAGGCCCCATTTGTCACAATAAGAGTGTAAAGCATCTAGTTTTCTCTGCAGTCCAATTACACAATTGTCATTGAGAGTGACATCATCAGCAAGTAATAATAACATGATTTCATCAAAATTATCTAACACAAATATGCATCTTACCCCAAGAATCTCCATTTCACATACTAACTTGTTTATAAAAAGTATAACAAGAACAGGACTTAACATGCATGTGATAAGTTTGGGGTCCTATCATGACAGATTGTTCTGGTAGATTGGCCGTTCTTGTGATCAGTTTGGTGTGCTATTATGACAGATTGTTCTGGTCGACTGGTTTTGCATGTGATCAGTTTGGTGTGCTATTATGACAGATTGTTCTGGTAGATTGGCCGTTCTTGTGATCAGTTTGGTGTGCTATTATGACAGATTGTTCTGGTCGAATGGCCGTTCTTGTGATCAGTTTGGTGTGCTATTATGACAGATTGTTCTGGTAGATTGGCCGTTCTTGTGATCAGTTTAGTGTGCTATTATGACAGATTGTTCTGGTTGATTGGCCGTTCTTGTGATCAGTTTAGTGTGCCATTATGACAGATTGTTCTGGTTGACTGGTTTTGCATGTGATCAGTTTGGTGTGCTATTATGACAGATTGTTCTGGTTGACTGGTTTTGCATGTGATCAATTTGGTGTGCTATTATGACAGATTGTTCTGGTAGATTGGCCGTTCTTGTGATCAGTTTAGTGTGCCATTATGACAGATTGTTCTGGTTGACTGGTTTTGCATGTGATCAGTTTGGTGTGCTATTATGACAGATTGTTCTGGTTGACTGGTTTTGCATGTGATCAATTTGGTGTGCTATTATGACAGATTGTTCTGGTTGACTGGTTTTGCATGTGATCAATTTGGTGTGCTATTATGACAGATTGTTCTGGTTGACTGGTTTTGCATGTGATCAGTTTGGTGTGCTATTATGACAGATTGTTCTGGTTGACTGGTTTTGCATGTGATCAATTTGGTGTGCTATTATGACAGATTGTTCTGGTAGATTGGCCGTTCTTGTGATCAGTTTAGTGTGCCATTATGACAGATTGTTCTGGTTGACTGGTTTTGCATGTGATCAGTTTGGTGTGCTATTATGACAGATTGTTCTGGTTGACTGGTTTTGCATGTGATCAATTTGGTGTGCTATTATGACAGATTGTTCTGGTAGATTGGCCGTTCTTGTGATCAGTTTAGTGTGCTATTATGACAGATTGTTCTGGTCGACTGGTTTTGCATGTGATCAATTTGGTGTGCTATTATGACAGATTGTTCTGGTAGATTGGCCGTTCTTGTGATCAGTTTAGTGTGCCATTATGACAGATTGTTCTGGTCGACTGGTTTTGCATGTGATCAATTAGGTGTGTTATTATGACAGATTGTTCTGGTAGATTGGCCGTTCTTGTGATCAGTTTGGTGTGCTATTATGACAGATTGTTCGGGTAGATTGGCCGTTCTTGTGATCAGTTTGGTATGCTATTATGACAGATTCAAGTTGATGCTCTTACTTACATTTGCAACAAATAACTGTTTATCCTGATATCAATGGAAACTCAGTAGAATTGCAATTTGCAAAAATCAATAGAAATTGTGAAAAGTCAAGCGAACACTTGAAAGAAATGTGTGTAGGTGCAGCCTTTGAAATTCATCTTGTTAACCTTATTTCACTAGTCATCAGAGTTTATAGCAAGTCCTCTTTGAACAAGACAGAAATGTTTACTGTGTTTACTATGTTTACATTTTCTAGCAGTTTTATTCAGTTTGTAGCAAAATTGAAGCATTGAGAACTGGCTCAGAATTATAGGTCTCAAATGCTACAAGTCTATGACGACCTCCGTCATTGGATTTTCCCTTGTCCTCAGCACATTTTAGTAGTCTGGGGCTTGCGGACTACCGTGAACTGGACTAGGTGGTAGCAAGGGATTGCCAGTAGTCTCTATAGCTGAGTTCTCTTTGCAGGCGAATGGTCCATGGACCCAGGGCATGGAGGTTATTGCCAACTACAACTTCCCTGGAAAGTCACATGAAGACCTTCCCTTCCAGAAGGGAGATATTCTCTTTATAGTCCGATCTACACGGGTGAGTTAATATTGTCTCAGGATTATTGTTTGGTATGTGTGCATGGTCACGGATCAAATGTGCATGGTCACGGATCAAATGTGCATGGGAGTGCTCCGAGTGATCTATATCATGTGTATGCAATGCTTGAATACAGAGTCCGTGTTTTGATGCGAGATGAGTCGGCTTGTAGCAGCAAATTACAACGGATGCAGAGATATGACCGACCAATGAAATGACTAACAGGAAGTCAGCTTTCTTAAGCTTTGCAGTACCAGTTTCAAACTGGCGACTTCCATTCCAGGCTATCCTTTTTAAAGTATTTTGAATAAGTCATACAGTCCGTAACAGTTGTTTTGTGCTAAGCATTAGAGGTTGCATGATTAGAAAACATATTCCGCTAATGAACAATGTAATATGCATTTTTCATTTTTATTTTTTATTATGTGTTTGTTTCGTTACCTATCGTAACCTTAATTTTGTTTATCTGATATAATCGTTAATCCGACATAATCAAATGCAACCAATGATGTCAGATTAAAGGGACTTGACAGAATATGAGGGAAATGATATAAAAATTAAATTGAAATGGAAGCCTTTATACTTGGAAGTATGGAATGATTATGATGATGATTAACATTTGCTTGATTGGAATAGTTCCTCAGAACTCTATTATAGTCTATTGCATGTTGTTGTAAGGGGAGATTCAATGTAATCAGTGGTCAGGCTGGTCACTCGGTTGATCTCATTGAACCACTGCAGTGGGGATGCGGCTCATCATGTCTCCCACTGGTTTACAGGCCGCTGTCATCATGGTCATGTACCTCCAACATGGCTGGTATAAGAGTTCTCCAACAAACACATTTGTGTTTAGTTTTCGTTCAAAACATTGCGGCCATTGAGTTTTGGTCCATTTTGTTTCTTCTCATTTTGCAGGATCCAAACTGGTATCGTGCCAAGGACAGCACTGGCAAGGAAGGGATGATCCCAGCCACCTATGTACAGCCCCGCACATCCGTGCCCCTCCATGCAATGCCGTACGTACACGTGTACAATCAATATGTAGCAAATATCAGAACAGTACTTACAGGAACTAATTTAAAAATGAAATTTATGAATGATTTTCATTGTGAATAACTCAAAATTGAAAGAATGTGAAATGAGCTTTATTACTGGAGTCTTCACATTTGTTTTACTGTAAGCTATATGTGTCCGGAAATTTGCCTGGGACGTATATGTGAGTATGGCCTTGTGACAACTTGTTCAAGGCTTGTTAGTCATGATGAAGGTGCATTTCCCTGATCCCAACAGCACCTGTCTTTTCAGGGTGTCACTATTGTGGAGGTTCCTCCTGACCCTGTTAGGATTCTCTGTAAGATTAGTTCCCCAGCAACCTATACTTCGAGTAAGAGGTAACTAAGTGGATTGGTTGGTCACGTTTGGTGACCTGGTTCATAGTGTCGATAGCGTACCCTGATAGTGTGTGATGTTGCTCATAATATCAGTCACTGGTGTGTCAGATCGAGCTGCTGTCATATAGCTTGAATATTGCCACATGTGGCATAAACAACAAACAAACAAACTGCTCTGGGGCATCATGGTCTGGCATACACAACATCAACCACATAGTTTGGTATTTGTCATGAAGTTTGTCCATGTTGACACAAAAGGATATCACTTATTCCACGGTGATGTTACCTATCTGGATGCCTGGTTAGCTCTATGGTTATTAAGTAAGGATAAGATATATGGATGAACAACTTCTTTATTACAATGAGGAGCGACGTTTTGGTGTAGGTTCTTACACCGTTATCAAGCAAGTGATGAACTTGGCTATGTGAGTCTTTGTGGCAGAATCCAGGTTGCAGTTGCTGTTGGTCTGAATCTTTCTGAGGGTGGAGTATGTTTGTTCTGTAAGAACTGATTGAAGGTAGTCCTGATGCTTTGTGATGGCATCTAGGGTGAGGGACTTGGTTTTGCATGGTGGCGCATCCGTTCTATGACGAGATGTTGTGAGGCTTTCTGGAGGATGGTGTGTGCTGCTGGTGAGTTGTCAGGGCTTCTTAGCTGTAGGCCTTTAGGTACGAGTTTGTTGTCTCCGCTTCCCATCAGGAACGTAAGGTGGCTGGATGAGTGGATGTACTCGTTTTCCAGGTTGTTGAGTCTGTTGAGTCAACACATAGCACTGCTCTATGGTATTACTTGAAGCTTTTTCAGATCTATCAAGTGGACCTGGATATCGATGATGTTGATTATCAGTTCTTGGTTTCTAGTGGAAAGGCTACTGGCTGTGCAATAATGCCACACATTTCATTTCATGAGGTGGTGTTGATGTTTCTTATGGAGCAAATGGTTTTCAGATGCAGGTGTCAGAAATTCCACCAGCGTATGTCATGCCTGATAGGGTGTCACCAAGTCTACTTGTGTCCTGAAGATGGACAGATCAAGTCTGTCATCTTGTACATTATGGTAGCTTTCAGCTTGCAAGTCATCACTAATTAAGAGTACAGAGGGTCCTTCCAAGTCAACTGCTCTCTTGTAGTCTATAGCAGGAATTGACCTCACCAAGTCTACTATTCTCTTGTAGATGGTATCATGGTCGTATGACACGGGAAGAGGCAGAACGTCTGTTGAAATTTCAGGAGGATGGAGTGTTTTTGATTCGTGACAGTGTCCATTACCATGGCGACTACACCTTATCAGTTGTGTATGAAGGGAGAGTTGATCACTATCGGGTGTTGGCTCGTAACAGAGAGCTGGAAGTGGATGGAGGAGATTGTACATTTCACAACCTGATAGAGTTGGTTCAGGTAGCTTGGATGTCTCTTGTGTTGCCTTGTCTTCCCTCTCACACTTCAAGACTAGCACTCTCCATGTCTCACTCTAATATGTCAGGACCTTTGTAAAAGCCATCTAGCCTCACACATCAAGAGTAGTGTATGTGTGTGTCCAGCTGGCCTCACACCTCAAACCCGTGACGATCCGGGGTAGTAGAGGTCTTCAGCAAACCATGCTTGCTGTAAAAGGTGACTATGCTTGTTGTATCGGGTTGACTTGGTTGATGCATGTCATCATATCCCAATTGTGTAGAATGATGCTCATGATATCAATCACTGGATTTTCTGGTCCAGACTCGATTATTTACGGACCGTCGTCACAGTAAACTAGGTTATAACAAACTCAAAGGGACTACTATTTTAGTTCGTTATAACCATAGTTCGTTATAAGCATATATACAGCATAACTACAGAAAATAGTCGGGACTAAAAAGTCAGTTCGTTATATACGTCAGTTTGTTATAAGCGTGTTCATTATAAGGGTGTTCGTTATAACCGTAGTTTACTGTAGCTAGAATATTGCTGAGTGCTGCAATATTGCTGAGTGCAGCGTTAAACAACAAACTCACACCTCAGGACTGGCACACCTGTGCATAGATAGTGAGTCTCACACCCAAGGAATAGCATACCTTCATGGCCACTAGTAATACCTTTCATTTGTTAGGACGGCGTACACAAAAAATGTTGTGTTCATACTGCCTTGGATTTAAATAGGCTATGTTTTTTTTCGCACCATGTCAAAATAGTTATCCATTTGTTAGAAATAATTCTATGGCTGGACACATGGTAAATCAATAATGATTTGACTCTGGTGGCTACAAGCCACTTCATACTGCAGTCTGTGTCACAGACATTTGAGTCCAGTATCTCAGTTGACATCAGTTCGAGTAGATTATGGTGCTTTTTACCAAAGCATACAAGACTGAAAGACATTTTAAGAGACCAAGGCTTTGGACTAGTGGCTAAAGTTGCAGAGTGCATACAGACTCATGGCATCCATACATTTATGTATATCATACCTGACATGGGTACAATGTGTGAGGCCCATTTCTGGTGTCCCCTGCCGTGATATTGCTGGAATATTGCTAAAAGTGGCGTAAAACCATACTCACTCACTCACTCATTTCTGGTGTCCCCCGCCGTGATATTGCTGTAATATTGCTAAAAGCGGTGTAAAACCAGACTCACTCACTTATGTTCATCAGATATATCAGCATGGTCAGAGAGCACATTATGCACATCGTACAACAAGAAAGCAGGGTTCACTAGTCTGTTAGACTCGTCATAATCTGGAGCGACACATTATTTTATCCCCAAGTGTAGTTATTTTATATAAATAACTAGTCCGAAAGGAGTTGGATGAGACCAATGTTGTCTGCCACTGGACAGCCAACCTGCTGGCCTTGTAGTGTGAGAGGGATAAAGGGGGTTGTCATTGTGTGCACGGTGTCCTAGGTTAGTGCACAGAGCACCTGGTCGTGTGTGTTTGAACATGTAATCATGTGGAAGTTTGTTGTTGGTCTCAGTCACCATTTTGTCCAGTGCATTGTGGGTACTAACCATGTACTGTGCACATCCCTGTGTGGTTGCCTCCCCTTGTCACAGCCTGGCATGAACCTACCTTGATTATATCTCTATGCTTGATGATATCCAAGCTATTGCATTCCACCAATGTGTGAGCATGTTTGCTGTCATGTGTGTACAAACATTAACATTATAACATGTCATACTTCCTCACAGTTTAAGGAATAATAAAAACAACATATTAACACTTAGGCTGATGCAGGTCACTCACATGATGTAGTTTTTCTGGCGCTGGTGAATTCTTTCTTGTTTTTCTGCATCTTGTTTCAACCTATATCACCATGATTGCTATTCATCACATTTTCACTTTTTATGTCTCTATATGCTATTTTTGAAAGTATGTGATCCAAACAGCTTATGTGTTCACATGTGCATGAAGGAGCCATTCCCACTTGTATTCATGACAGTGGTCTAAGGTGATGCTGTGCACAGATGCATCCCTCACTTGTGCCAGGATCTGCAGATTTAGGGTTTGAATCCCAGGTTTATATTGATTATGACCCTTGGTTTGCCAGCACCAACCCAAGCGATGTGGTAACAGTTGACTTGCATCACTTGGGTCGTTTCTTCTGCACTAAGCTGCTATGCCATGCTATAACTGAAACCTAACTCACTCACTCACTCACTCACTCACTCCTTCAGTCCTCCACTAAACATCTGCGTGTCGGCTGATCATGCTGATTACATGTACCTTTGCTGATGACATTTCATTGACTGATAACACATGTCAACAACATAGGGATGCTCTGCCTGGGTTTGGAATTTAAAGTTTGCAACGAATGTTTTGCAGTTGATATATTACATTATCTTATCTCATCTAGTGATGGTTGTTTATTTTGCAGAATCGTCTGTGCGAAACGGATTTGATATTTTTCAAATAATCTGTTCATGTGAATGTCAGTTGAATCGATTTGGTTTGTGGTTTCAAATTATTTGACATTGCTTGACTGGTGGTTTACTGAGTGGCAGAACTGATGGTTTGAACTGACAAAATTGTATCCTTGACCCTGGCCCATCTCTCAGGGAGATATGGGTGTCCCTTGTCTCCGGCTCATGTATGTGGGTGTCCTGTACTGAAGTTATCACAATTGTGCTGCCCTAGTTCAAGTTACCACCATTGTCTCATACTACAATGTCAATATCGATCTTCCTCAACAATGACTTTGATGTGAGGAAGACAGCCTGCTTCCCACAGTTAATAGCTTGTTGGGCCAGGTTATGCGATACAGCATCCTGTTGCGTCTATTACATCCTCCTGCCCCAGGTGTAGTTTAACAGCTGCCACCAGATACCAGAAAGTTGAGCAAGACAAGAACTTCCTTACAATCTGATAATATATCATCCATCTAGATTAGCATTGGTATCATGTGACTCAGATTGTCGTGAGAGCAGACAACAAGGATGTCACGTTCTTATTTGCTAAGGCAACATGTCATAATTTTATGGTTTACAGATTGGACTGGAGGCAAAAAAACATTATCTTTTATGCATTACATATTAAGGACCATATTGGGTGGAGTGATAAACCTGAGCTTTGTCCGATTCTGTGATCAATGTGGGCTCTATCAAATAAGTTTCACATTTTGAGTTTGGTCCATCCGTGTTTTGTTGGATTATCAGTGATGGGCGTACCAGACAATTTGGTTTCTTGTTGGGTGGTATTAACAGTGACAACTTGTTATAGAAATGTCATATCAAAATGTTGGATGGGTGGGTCAAGGTTTGTTCCATGCTCTATTTAATTGCCAGTTCCCATGGTTACATAGTTCTGTTTGTGTCACTATATGTAAAGTGTGGACATGTGTCCAATTCATGAATCTTTTTTACTCTCTTTATACCCATCAGATATAAGGATTTATGAATTAGATTTTCAATTATTTTGTCTTATCCTAAATACGTTTCTCTTTCCTTGGCTAACACCATAGCTAAAAGTGATCGAGGATCTTGGACAGATTATGGGAAGTCTGTGATTGTAGCCGAGTTGACTGACCCATTCTCTACTCATGACACTAGTCCCTTGTAGTGACAGCTCTGTGTATGCTTCCCCCTGCTTTCCTTGTAGATGGTTTCATGGTAAAATAACACGGGTTCAAGCTGAGGTGCTGCTGAAGCCCCCTGAAGATGGTCTGTTCCTTATACGAGAGAGCAGCAACTACCCCGGGGACTACACGCTGTGTGTGTGTTGTGGCAATAAGGTGGAACATTATCGCATTCTCTACCGCAACAACAGGCTCACGGTTGATGAAGAGGGGTATTTTCGGAACCTGGCCGAATTAGTACAGGTAGCAGAACAAATTGAGAAATTACGAACCAAACTTGATGAGCTATAAATACATGACCATAGAGAGTGTACAGAAGTGCATTACTAGAAACCTGAAAGGGAGTTAATATGTTCAGCTTGAACACATGGACGACCATGGTTGTAGCAGATGTGAAGGAAGTAGGCATGATAATCAATTGAAGTAATTTACTTGTGCACTTCGGAATGATGTTGCACTACAGCTCTAAGCATTGGGAGAATGCTTCTATACCAATGTCAGGGGTGTGGAAAATCAATGTCTGACTTGCCCAGTTTGTTGCATCAGATCGTCTGACACAAAATACAGTCAGCTTCAGGAGTTCAGTTGTCCATACAACCTTAAAACATAGCAGACAGTCAGTCAATTGTGATCAAATATTTGTAGCAAGTACTAAATGTAGCTTTGAAAGAATATAAGCATCATCATCATTGACCAACCTAACAGACGGCATTATGACCAATTTTGGTCATGATTTAGAACAAATCACTGTATACCATGAAGTCCTGGCAGGTCAGACTGGCTGTTGATAACATGTGATTTACATTTGATTATGGACTAGGAATGGACAAAGTCACTCTTCGTGGATGGAAATATATTTTACATCTTATTTATACATAAAAAAAATGCTTGTCTCCATTTGTGATTTTGTACAGTTTCCTTGTCCAGGGACAAGTTGCAAACAGTTGATATTTGCACACCCCTGCAATAAGTGTTAGCCCATGATAATAGTGTGACAGCATGCTGCATGCCATGTAGAAGTGTTGTACTTATACTAGCGTGGACTTGTTCAGAAACCTACGTCACAATAACAAATATTGACATCTTCAATAAACATGATGAATCTCTCTCATGCTACTATTTTCTCCAATCTACACTCAGTCATGGTTATCAGTTTCATTTTACTCATCAGATTTATATTCAACTATTTCTATTTTCAATTTCAATGTTTGATATCAATCCTTATTCCTCTGCTTCAATGAGTTTGTGTTAGCTAGAACCGCCAGGCATTGTATAAATCTCAATGTAAGAAGAGTCTGTTGTATGGATCATGTAACCTTTGTAACTCCTGTCCCTGTATTGTTAGCATTACAAGACTGATGCTGACGGCTTGTGTACAAGGCTAGTGCGCCCTGTCAAAAAGGATGGGGAGAGTTTTGCGACGGTCAGTGTACAAGATTTCCAGTCCAGCGGCTGGGTCATCAAGATGGATAATCCCTCCGATTGGGTGAAAATTGGCAAGGGAGAGTTTGGAAGTAAGTAATGTCAGGATCAAGGAAACCAGTATGTTGCAATGCTACAGATTCCTATATCATTTTAGCTTTTTTCACAAGTATTACATGTTTAATTGTCCTGGATCATGGATTCTCTCTGCCAGTTCAATTCTCCCATTTGCGAGATGAAAGTGGACGTCAAAGAAGCCAACTGTACACATGAGCATAATTAAGCGAAGTCATGTATAAACTGATCGGCAAATCACATCATCTCACCATGAACTACTTTTAAACGAACATTAGTCGTTAGAGATACAAAGTCTTTGGTCTTCCTGTCACTATATTGAAATTTCTTTTCAGTTACGATACTTGCTATGACATTAAGTATCTTTTAGACTAAATCATCCATAGTGGAGAAAATGTTTGAACAGCTGATTGCTATTTCTCGCATTTTTACGAAACAAATACACATGTAATCTTAATCTCTGAAACATTGTCCGGCATACTGTGCACAAATACCATTGAATTTGTAAATCATCATCATGATCATGTCTAGAGGAGTTTTATCGTAAAATTTTCATGTTTTCATTGACGGATTTGCAAAAGGCAAAACAAGCACACCAACTCCTATTACCGCCATGACCATAACACGAGATGCGCAGTAAAGTAGCGACATGTAATGGAAAGTAACTGCACACTATATTGGATTGCATTGTTTTTAAGTATTGTAGCATTTTACTGCTTGGGTTGTGTTTAAGATGATAATTTAAGGAATGTTTTTTGAAAAAGGAAATATGGAAATAAAAACGAATCATGTGGCAGACTTTATGATGATGCATGCAGTGCCTGATGACCAAGACTATTACTTTTTTAGCCTAACATATGTATACAAGGGATTATCTGAGAGGTTCACTATGTTACAGATGTTTACAAGGGATTATATGAGAGGTTCACTACGTTACAGATGTTTACAAGGGATTATATGAGAGGTTCACTATGTTACAGATGTTTACAAGGGATTATATGAGAGGTTCACTATGTTACAGATGTTTACAAGGGATTATATGAGAGGTTCACTATGTTACAGATGTTTACAAGGGATTATATGAGAGGTTCACTATGTTACAGATGTTTACAAGGGATTATATGAGAGGTTCACTATGTTACAGATGTTTACAAGGGATTATGTGAGAGGTTCACTATGTTATAGATGTTTACAAGGGATTATATGAGAGGTTCACTATGTTACAGATGTTTACAAGGGAGTGTACAAAGGACAGGCTGTTGCCATCAAACAACTGAAAGATAAGGACAAAGCTGAGCAGACCTTTCTCAAGGAAGCATCCGTAATGACGTAAGTTCCTTCATCCCACGTGCCAAAACATCAGTCTATCATGTCTGGGTATCTCCCATTATTTGTGTATGAGTGCCCCATCTTCAGTGGTGTGAGTGCTTTCTGCTGCCGCCATGCTTTAACAGAATTTCCATCCCAGTGTTTCTAATCACCTGAGAGTTATCTCAAAACATTACCACATCTATGTCACACTTATTTCCTGTGTGTGCATCTTGTGTGTATAACAGATACATTTTCAGCTTGGTAGACGATAATTGGTAAAAGCTAGCCATGGCAGAATGAAGTATAAAATGGCAGGTGCTTAAAAAGTGGCATGCACGACAGAGAAACTCACTACCATGCTTCTCAGTTCAGCCCTTGCTGTGTGCAGACAAGAGAAGTTGTAAATGCACTGCTTGTTTCCCAACAGGTCTCTACGACACGCCAACCTGGTCCAACTGATTGGTGTAGTCCTCAGTGATGAGTTCTTCCTTGTAACAGAGTTCATGGGTAAAGGCAACTTGGTAGAGTATCTCCGAAGTCGTGGTCGCAGTGTCATCACAAAAAAGGACCAGATTAACTTTGCCACGTAAGTTAAAAACTATAAATGGATTCATTCATTTTCATTTGCTAGTTGTCAGCTCAGCAAATTGTAGTGAGTGAGTGAGTGAGTATGGTTTTTCGCCGCTTTCAGCAATATTCCAGCAATATCACGGTGGGGGACTCCAGAAATGGGCTTCACACATTGTACCCATGTCGGGAATCGAACCTGGATCTTCGGCGTGACGAGCGAACGCTTTAACCACTAGGCTACCCGACCGCCCCTAGCAAATTGTAGACCAGTAGAGCCTTTTTTTTGAAACCGTCTTTTAGTCCATCGGTCACCAGACTTATGTCAGTTGTCATGTTAACATTTTTGGACATAAATAGGATCATTTTTTTTATTAATTTGATTTATTGTTCAGGTTCAATATTTACTGATGAATATTTAATAGCCAGTAAGATTGGTCACTTTTATAGAGGACAACTAATCTAATCAATGAAGTGATATCAGTTCACATGGAGGGTCATGTTTTGCAGTGACACGTGTGCAGCTATGGACTACCTGGAGAGTAAGAACCTAGTGCACAGGGATCTAGCAGCCCGTAACGTCCTCGTACATGAAAATGGAACAGCGAAGGTACTTTTATAATCTGTTCTTACAGTATACACTGGATTGCAAAATGATCTTGAAATAATGAAATAGAAGTAAAGAATATGGGAGGGAGACAACTGGACACCCCAAAACAGTAGTAGTATACTTATGATACTGATACAAGTAACATCAACAACAGCTGAAGTAGTTCTGTTTAAATTCCTCGCTCGGTTTACCAAACTATTTGTCTTCACAGTTTAGTAATTGATGAAGGGTAACCAGTACATGTTATTATACCCTGCAAGCAATGGGGCTGGGGATGTAGGTTTGGGCTCTTTCCAACTTTAGTGGAAACCAGTTGCTTGTTTAAACCATTGACAAGGATGACATTTTGCATACATCAATACAGAGTACATGTGTTGAATGAGTTCGAAACCCAGCATCATGAATTAATATTTGACAGAGTTATGGCCCTTGTTTGATCTTTTGACATGGTGCACAGGACAGGTTTCCTTGGAAACCACTATGGATAGAAGTATAACATTTCGCATGCAGTACTAAGGAATATGAAGTAGCTATGCGATATTCGCAGAGACCAATGAAGAACGAAGCGTGATCTATTTCACGATAAAACATTGCTCTACCATGACATCATTTCTAGAGATTCGAACATCTGCTCGCAACATGTGCCCCTCATGGTTAATTCTCCCTGGAGTATTTTATTGTACAATAAACAACTCCCACTTGTCGTTTATTTCTAAAGTACCTATTTCGGTCAAATTCGAAACACAGGATGGGGACATAATATTTTACAAAGTTATGTCCCTTGTCTGAATTTTTAGACATGATGCTCTGTACCCCACTTTGGACAGATTTTCTCAGAAACCACTTTGAGTACAAGGATGACGTTTTGCATGCATCATAAAGGGATAAATATATTGACCGAGCTTGAAAAACATCATAAAATTGCCATGCTTTAGAGAGTAACGGCACAGTACCACTTATTTCTGGGGAATCATCATAGATGACATAAGGAAGAGAATTTATGGATGTCACCTTTTTATGATAAGGAACACGTTGTTTCGGAGTATATCCTTACTCCTTCATCATTCACCTCATGAAGGAGTAAGTATATACTCTGAAATGTTGTGTAAAATCTTCACCTATGACGTCGTTTCTAGTGCAACATCATTTCGACCTCAATGCCAAAATAAGATTTGAATGACGTCAACAATGCCGTCCGGATGATGGAAACAATACGCTGTTGTCTCATGACATGATTTGACCCTAGGGAACATATGATTTTTTTTAACCCCGATATGTTTGCCCTCGAAGGTAATAATTTAGTATTTGTGCAGTTAGTAGTTGGAGAGCTCAGTGTATCGGTTCCATTTTGCATGATATTTTAGTTTTGACCCATGTATTGACTCTCATAATAGATCTTGCTGTGATGTTTTATCACAAATGATTACAGTTTAATATGTACAATGTATATGCTTCTTGGCAGGTTTCCGACTTTGGTTTAGCTAAATTTGAAGACTTCAGCACAGATGGTGGCAAGTTCCCGATCAAATGGACAGCACCTGAGGCATTACGGGACAATGTAAGTCAGAAGCAGCAGCAGACAGAACCTCACGAGTGCTAGGCAGTGGTGTTTCCTCCGTCAACACTGAAGGATAATTGTAGTGATAGTAAAAGTAACAGCTAAAAACACAAAATATTTGAATATATTATTCTTGGAGGGTAATGGTTTCAGATACAATGTCTTTGAAAGGGATATAGAAGTTGAAAGAACATGAATACATGACACTTTTGGGGGGATAACAACTTCTTTATTCTTTGTAATGACGTTTCAGGGGTACTTCTTGCCCCTTTATCATCATTTGCCCTGAAACATTGATGAAGAGGCAAGAAGTAGCCCTGAATCATTGTTACAAAGAATAAAGAAGTTGTTTCCCATAAAAAAGTGTCATCCATTCAAAAAATTCTTTTCAGTCGGTATTTTAAAATGAATCACTGGTACATCTTGGGGAAAATGTGTGTACAGCTGATTGTATTGCTGAAATAGCAATTTTAGTGAAAGCACTATTCTCGAGTGCACACTGTACCTGTCAGTCCTGTCTAAACCATACAGTCACAGTTATCCATCTTCAAAGAATGCTGATATGCTTTATCAATTGATTTTACAGGCCTTTACAAACAAATCTGACATGTGGAGTTTTGGCATTCTACTGTGGGAGATTTACTCATTTGGAAGAGTACCATATCCTAGGATAGTAAGTTCATATGTGTTCATGGTGTTCAATAATCTTCAGTGTGTTCATCATACTTTATCATTAGCATTCCATTAATACTTCATTTAAACTTTGTCCGAGGATTATATTGTGTCGTAAGATTGTTTAACAAAAAGTAGTTCAGCTAGTCGCTATGTGTAGGATAAAGCACATCTGAGGGTTTTTATGATATTTAAAACTTGCATCCGAGGGTTAAAAGAACGAGGGTTTTAAATATCATAAAAACCCAAGGGGAAGTGTTTTATGAACTTATAAACCGAAAAAAGAAACTTAAACATGATAACATTAGTATGTTTCATGCAGCTACTGGCAAAGATGTTTTTTATACCTATAACATTAGTATGTTTGATACAGCCACTGGCAGATATGGTTTTTATACCTATAACATTAGTATGTTTGATAGAGCAACTGACAAAGTTTGGGATAAATATGAAATATGAATGGTAGAATACCACAATAGTCTTCTCCGCTGATAACAAATGTATGTTTGTTTCAGCCTTTAGCAGATGTGGTGGTGCATGTAGAGCGTGGGTACCGAATGGAGGCCCCTGAGTGCTGCCCCCCTGAGGTCTACACCATCATGAAGAAAGCATGGGCATTGAAGCCTGATGACAGGCCCACATTTCACTTGGTGTTAGAGGAACTAAATGCATTGAGATCAGTGAGGGTGTAGTGTTATACCACAAATGACCAACAATGCTCCACTTGATTCTATGAGACTGTTACGCTCTGTGTCCATCTTATTCCTACCAAGTTATTTATTCCACATGACATACGAAACATTGTCTCCCAAAATATTACCGAAAGGTCTCACAAATATTCATTAAGATTCTTTATATTGTCAGTATGTAATGGTTATATGCTGTTTAAAAAATGAATTTGTTACACTTAAATTGAAACAGGAGCAATAATATTGCCTTCCAAACTGTCTCACAGAACCATCTTGATCTTGGGTGGAAGTTCGACATTCATTGCTCAGGTTCTGTTCCAGATGAAGTTTCTATACTTGATACATTCGTCAAGACATGTGCATGGCCCACACATCAACACAATTCAGTGGTGTGCACATGCCCTGCAGGTATACGTGTGGACGTCTTGCCAGCTGTTATGTGCAGGGGGGCACTGTTTGCATTTGCAAAGGTGTTGCCAGACAACATTAGATTTGAGCAGTTGCATGATATCAGTAGGTGCCCTCCAAAAACATATGTGAAGCTGTAGTCCGCCAGTGTGTGACATCAGCAGGTGCATACTTGTGGTGACACTGCATGACACAGGTGTATCCAGGCACTGTGTTGTGTGGCGATGATGTACAGCACAGCATCCTTTTACCACAACACTTGACTGACACGAACATACACCAGCTGTATACGAACCAAACAGTGTAAAGTCTGACCTATGTTCCAAGTGAAAGAAGGCTTATCTTCATTGCTACAAATAACCAATATTGTGCCTATTTTGCTTTTCTACTCAGTTACACAAATTATGTACATAATTTTACAAAAAATATTTGAGTATCCTCCATTGGTGGATATCAATACCATTGTGCTTAAATAGATGTGTGGTTTAGAAATGCCACAGGGTTTATATTGGATTGAAAGCTAGCCCTGCACAATGCACATGCATGTATGAACATGTTCACATGGATGCTTGAGTGCAAGTGTATCTATGAACACCCTCAGTCTAGTACACCTGAGAATGAGCTGCCTACACACTTTGATTACTTATTTATTGGATATAATCTTCATATCAGTTAACAGATTACCTTCCTTTGCTTTAGTACTTTTTAATAATTTTAAGTGCTTTTATTTCAACTGTCATCATGGACGTTTCAAGCCTGTACCATATTTGCTTTTTTGATTACAAAGTATTAAGTGATGGCCCATGTATCCTTGTCAAGCAAATGTAATGTTTGCATTCCTTACACACAGCTATATCACTTGTGAAGTTTGTGTTGATATCGTGAAGTGAAGTGTCTTGTCTTGCCACGCTTTGCTTCATTGTGCATCGTAGGAGCATCAGATCAAGACACAATTGTACATCAAAGCAACCATGGTGACAGTGATCAGTTTCCATGGTACAAGTAGTTTGTGTCCAAGTACAGATTCTAGTGGAGCACTGCTTGATGACAGCATTATGCACAAACAGTATCCATTGTAACGGTGGTCAGTGTCCTTTGGACATAGTCTGCAACACAGGAGCCAAAATAATTCATCTATGCAGATTTAAGTGTGTTCTGTGAAATCAGTATGTGGATGTTTCTCGAATATATTGGTGCCTTAATGTTGTGGCTGTATGTGTCTATGTGGGAGATGGTTTGTGATGATTAATCAGATGCACGCTAGTGATATTGCACAGATAGGACTCGTGAAGTGTTCAGGCTGTCCAATGGATGCCGGCTAACCACTACATCCGCTAGAATTGCTGTAAATGTTTGAGTGTTACTGAACCCAATGGCAAAGAATTGTGTGGGTTTGCATCTGCAATGGAAGTGAACTGAATACTGCTTCGTGTTGAAAATGTTGGCTGAGAAATGTCTGTTTGCTGGAAATCCATGTATGTCATGTTGTCTTCTGGGTTGCTCTTGGTTGATAACCTTTGAGATGGTATCTCAGTCAGTGGAGAGTTGACTGTCAGTGTTTTAGGCTTCTGTGACGCTGTCCTATGCAGCCATTGTGTCCTGTGTATATATTCCCCTTTGTTGTCAAGTGGTCACTGCACTTGTAAATGCTTCCTGTTAATGAGCATTATTGACCAAGATTCCTCATTACGTGTTCTAAGGTATTCGAGCTACTTTTTTCAAACATGTAGCTCATCATGCTCACAAAGATCTTTGTATGGACTAAATGTTTCTGAATATTCACTGATCCTTGCTATCCTGCTGATGTAAGATGTATGTTTTGCAATACTCTTATTTCTCCTTGGTGGTTCATTCTACAGTGATCTGATCAAACACCTTGGCTAACTGAAGTGATTGAACTGTACAGGTGCTGAATCAACAGCTTGTCACAACACATTGTTTGTACTTAGCAATAGTACTGAGTGATGCCTTTCAGTACTAAAAATCATTGTCACAAAAAGTAATTGCAGGCAATTACATATCTTCATGATTGATGCTTTCCTAATTAAAGTTTATGTTTATGTTTGCAGTTAAAGCTTGGTTTTTGGATTTTATTACTGCTATTAAGATACTGTTTGTTTTGTCAGCTTATTTTGGATCTGCTTTAGGAAAGGTTTTGTTTCTCCATATCATTTCTCTCAGTCACTATTCTGTATGTCATCCTCATTTTATCATCAACTATTTGTACAGTTTTTGTAGAATTTTTATGACCATGATGACAAGGTTAATTAATTACATGTGAGAAAATGAAAATTTGATGCATGTCAAAATCTCCAAATAGCCTCGGTTATTTTATGCACACTATGGTTATTATAAGGGTAACGCTATTTTTCAGGGCATTATCATTGGCAGAACCCCAAGGTCTTCCATTAACTGCCCGACGAAGGAGTGCAGTTGAAAAGACTGGAGGCTTCTGCAAGTGATAATGCCCTTAAAAATTAGCGTTACCGTTTTTATAGCTAAAATGGATGGAATTTGTTATCAAATAAAAAGAAACAACAATATCGGTTTTGAAACATTTACTGCAATCAACACGAATGTCACTGACCCACTTTTACAAATATGGAAACGTCATAGAACAAACCAGATGACGTCACTATTAAAAGTGACGTCACCTATCCCTGTCCTATGACGTCAGCTAACAACGGGCGTGATAAGGCCCGTCGTCAAGCAATATGAGGGCATGATCAAGTTACAGTGGCCCGCTCATTTCTGATAACATGCGGGTGGTTTAATGATAATTCTATCCATTTTAGCTATAATATGATATAAGGCAGGTAACATGATAATGCTGACAACTTCCTCATCTAGTGCTCATCAGATTGTCATCCTCTCATGGATACTGTCACGTTACTTGTGTCTGGTATACAGGTGGACTGCACTAAGCACAACACTGTCAATTTGTCTGCCAATTTTACAGTAAATAATGAATGTTTTACACCTTTCGAAATCTCCTCAGTCATGCTTGTCACCAAGTGACACCAGTACTACCATGCCTCATGCCTAGTATTGTGGTTGAAGGAAGACACAGTATTGTGCTTGTGCCAATGAAGTCCTTCAGTTCAGGTCTGTTATCTACCCAGTAGCCAGAAAGTTAAACAAGCTCAATATCATATACTACTCAAAAGAAGATAAAGAACACCCATTTTTTTCATATGGCTATATTAATTCTGTCACAGCAAGTGGTTAGTATCGCACACAACCTCCCAATTGTGGGTGTTTTCTAACTTGTTTTGAAGAGGATACAATGACAAATACATATTTTGTTCATATTTACGATCATATAGTCAGAAAACAGTCACAGCAACAGGTGGTACTGTCCATTCTACTCAAGTAACATCCTATCATAATAGGTGTCATTGAAATATCTGTGATTGTTTAAATATTTCATTTGTGTTGTTCTCTTTTCTTAGAAAACCATGAACTGTGTGTAGTATTTATTATGAGGTGACTACTATGCATATTGAACACCATAGTCCATTTACATGTGGCCAACATGTTTGTTGTCATTCACCACTGGTATCATTTCATTATTTTTGTAGATCTGTATCAACGTTCAGCTATGTTGGAGGTAGTTTCAAAGGACTGACTGCTGTAAGTCTTATGCTGAAACGGGGGGTTCGAAGATGGTCCTGTCAGACCAGTTACTTTGTAAACATGACCCCTCAACATTAGGTGTCTTTCTGCGTGACAGAAAAGTTTAACAGTAACAGGACAAAAAGTATTTTTAGCTCTTATCTAGGATTCAAGCAGATTTTGTATGGGCTGCATTGTTTTGAAAGACTTTAAGAATTTATAAAACTTTGTAATAGACTAAATCTTTTAGCAACTACCAACTTATAAAAAAATGCAGATAATAGTTCCCCGAGACCCTTTGACATTAGCTGTATCAGCGTGATCAGTAGAGATTATAACCCCATACTCTGGTGTATTGAAAATGCATTCTTGTATTTTGTAGTTTTTGCAATTTATTATTTTTGTAGCACATTATTTCATCTGATTGTTAACAACATGCTTAGGTCATATCAAAATATCAGAGTGACATGTTGCCTGATGATGTTCTGGGAGTACAGAATATTGTATTACAGTATCCTGACAGTTAGTCTTGCACATTGTTATGCTTATAACACCATGCCATAAACCATGTTTTATTTGTAGTTCCACTAGCTATACGTTGTTGCTACTATACTATGTACTGCACCGATACTTGACCCTCATATGTGATGAAAATACCATTTCACGATTCGGGCACTGAGTATGCTCCGGCAGCTAGTTTGGTGTCTGAAACTTTCAAATTACCTTGAGATGGAGGCTTGGAAAGGAACCAGTACTAACATAACTGCTGTTTGAACCCTAATTTTGGATGCCATAAGTCATCTGTATGGAGGATGCTACAACTCATTGATAGATGCCATAGCGGTTGATGCAGTTTGTTCAATGGTGCATGCATTGATCCATATGCATCTTCCCAAGGCAAGGGAGCTAACTGACTATAAAAGTCTAATTTTACACCCTTGCCGATCTAGGCTGGAATAATGGAATTATGTTTTGGCTGGACTAAGTCTTTGGGTAGTCCAATCAAAACCCTTTACAAAATCGACATCCGCTTCGTAAACAGCTGTGCAGGATTTGCAAAGCATGTGTGCTGCCAACTTAGCCTCAACAGATATTTTCCAAATCTTTTCAAGTTTTTAATCAAGATGCTCATGTCATTTGATACACTTTAGTAAGACACATCTGAATACAGTATAGATCTTGATTACAATCAGATCGTCTTCACCGGGTGCCGCCATTTTGTTGAAAGTAAATGCAATTGATATGAAAGGTGTAATATGATTGGTCAATAGGAGGGACAGAAGGAACTGATCTATAAATACCCACTGGTGGCACTATGATCAAGCCAAGAAATTCCTGCCTAGTTCGTCAAGGGTGGAAACTGGACTTCATACAGTCAATTAACTCCCTTGTGAACTTCATGTGAATAGCCCTTCCTTGAACAATAAACAACAATGAACTTAATGCAAGCAATTGACACTTGCATTCTTTGCATTAATTTCATAATTTCCAGTATCTGGTTGATACAATTGAGCTATTTGGTGGTTGCAGTACAGAGGAGTAGTCAGATGGTATAGGATGCTGGAACCAGTGTGTTTATTGTAGCCTTCTCCATCGACAGCTTCTGCCTGACAGAATGGATGTATATTTGTACATGGTATAATCATAATAACAAATAAACATATTCAAATTTACAAGCTTGTTATGTTTTATTTTGCCTGCATATGTCAGAGGTATATATTAAATAGCGTTCAGATTCTCTGAAACCTTCCATTTTGAGTAATTTTGCTGGCACTTTTAGAATGTGCATGTGACATTGCAGTCATCAAGCTCCTAGCAACCACCTATTTCTGATCATCAGTTGTGGAATTAATACCAATTCATGTCAGGTAACTTCATCTGTAAATGACCTTGGAAGCATTTTCGTGTCATCATCTGTGAAGATCTGTAGGTCAACCTGTGAAGATGTTAGCAACACATTCTCGTAGTAAGAGGCAACCAAGGGGATTAGGTGGTCAGGCTCGCTGACTTGGTTGATGCATGTCATCCTCATATTGCTGAGTGTGGCAGTATACAACAAACAAACAAGCAGATGGATCTAGGTCATCAGCCCATATAGCCTAAGCTACAAAGCAGCCAATGAGCTATCGAATGTCTCGGTGCACTTCCCACGATCCCCGGGTTTTATTCCCCCAAAACTCATTCCCGCCCAACGTCTCCAATTCATAGTAGCCCTGTTCGACACTCTGCAAGGTCTGATGTTCGTTCACCTTCAACGGCACCAATGGCAACAACTCCTGGGCCTCCTAACATCGGCGCTGGCGCTTACTGTACGGGTACTCTTCAATATTTTCTCGCGCCCTTTATCAGGATCAAGGATTGTCACACGCTGATCTCTCTACCGCTCAATCTCCATCCTCATCTTCAATGGTGGCTGGTCGCGTCGAATGTTTGCGAAGGGGTCTCCTTGACGCCATTCGTGCCGTCCCTCCATCTGTTCGTCGATGCTTCAACCGTCGTTTGGGGAGCACATTTTCAAGATCGGCAAGTAGCAGGGCGGTGGTCCGACGTTGAGTGTTGCCTTCACATCAACAATCTCGAGTTCAAGGCAGCCATTATCGCGATTTCGCATTGGTCGAACCTTCTCTGGTCCCCCTCCTCATGATCCAGTCCGACAACGCGGCGGCAGTCCATCAACAGGATGTCCCTACTCTCACTTGCTCTAGAGTTTTTTCTTCTCATCGACTCCCTCACCATGCATGTCCGCGCTCTGCACATTCCGGGGGTATTCAACGTCATAGCAGACTCCCTGTACCGACCAGACAGACCATCACCAACCGAGTGGTCTCTTCATCCACAATCAGTCCAATGGATTTGCCAACTTTATCGGGCCCGGGAAGTAGACCTCTTCGCCACGCACTTCAACGCTCAACTATCCCGATTCATATCTCCCATCCCCGACGCTCGGGCTTGGGAGCATGACGCTTTAGTGATCTCGATCTCGTGGGAGGGTCTCAATGCCTAAGCCTTTCTCTCGACAGGGCTCCTTCACCGGGTCGGCACCAATAGCCTGTCTCTGATTTTGCTCGCGCCCTATTGGCCAACACACTGGTTCCCCACCTGGCTCGCCGACTTTATCCTCGATTTCATCCTCTTCCGCTCCGCGACGACCCCCCCCCCCCCCCCCTTCAGCCTCTCTGTCGGTGGCTCCATCAGTCTCTGACAACGCTCCATCTTTGCGTTTGGCGCAAATGGTTACTCCCAGCGGGTAGCAAAGACCATCACTGCTGCCCATCGTGCTCTACTGTGTTCGACTCGGAAACTTAGGGGATCTACGTTGGCAACCTACCTCGCGGCTATTAACTCCGTCATTGCCACTACTTCCGGTGCGAAGGTTTCCACGGTTACGGAGCAATAATCGCACATCCTTCCCTACAAATTAGCCGACCAAGCTGCTCTTTTTCGGCCTCCTTGGTGGGACCTAAACGTTATTTTTCAACACATTGTTTACGGCGATTATGAACCACTGTCGGAGACGGACTTCCAGACAATCGTCTTTTTGTTGGCTTTGGCCACCGCTGCACTGGTTAGCGAAATTCATGCTTTGGATGTCACAAGGGTCCAGTTTGACAGATCCGGAACTTGCAAAACGTTCCTTGGGCTCCGTTGGGATTTCCTCGGCAAAGAACCAACTTCCCCGACAGCCGGACCGGCTATTTACGATTTCCCCGATCTCGGCTTTTTGGGGGATCGAACGACCATGAAGACCTCTCCTTGTGACCGGTTCGGGCGCTTCGAATATATCTCGATGCGTCTCGCCTCCACAGTCGTTCCCGGAAGAGACTTTTCATCCCATTGTCAACCGTGTCTTCGTCGGAAATTTCTTGTTCGACACTATCCTTCTGGCTCCGCTCCATCATTCTGCGAGGTATACATTCGCCGGGCTGCTTCCACCTACAAAGTCCAATCCTCACGAGACTCGTGCGCTTACTTCTACCATGGCCCTCCATAGTAACTGCACCCTTTCAGCCGTCATGGAAGGGTGCTATTGGAAGTCTGATTCTTTTTTCTCGTCTCACGACCTTCGCGACATTTCAGTCACAGACGTACAAGGGCTTCACAAGTTCGGTCCGTTGGTGTTGGCACAACTGTCTAGCCCCAGTTCACGCAGATAATAAACTGCTATGCTTTGTAATCCTTGCGGGTTCCAATTATTCATACAGTATAAATCATTGAACATTTACGTGGTATTACGTGTTTTTTTTATGTTCGATTTTTCACAGATCGGGTCCCTTATGGAGGGTGTATTAGTTGGTCTGTAGAGACCTATAAATCTTAATTTACGAAGTGAACAATTGTTGCGTCTGATCATATACATTCAGTCACAATCGGTTCGTTTGTGTTCGTACAACAACTGTCTCACGCAGAACATAAACTGTTATTATACTAGGTAATCCAAATAATTAAACATTTACGTGGCGTTACGTGTATTTTGATGTGTCGGGTTTCCCATGCATACACTCGAATGTGTTAGTAGAGGCGTTAAATGAGTTACCAAACTCTGTGGTACGTGGGGGATAGTTGCTGTGTTTTGTTTGAAGAATCGATATCCTTCCAGGATCGATTTTAAGTCGTCTGCCGTTTTTCGCTCACGAGTTTATGTCTTTTAGACACTAGACAGTTTTCAAAATTTAAAACAAATTGAAAATGGCACTGTCTAGAGCGAGCTTCTCACGCACATCTTACGGTTGTAGTCTATACAGGTTAGGGTATCTGCGGCCCATCATCCAAAGTGTGAAATGGGATAAGTTTATAGATTTGGATATTTTAGTAAAAATTGTATATTTATATACTCATCCTATCTCGCACGCGATAGGCCCACCAGACCATCCCCGCATCTCATTTACTCTAGGGGCACGGGTGGCCCAGTCGTCTAAGGCGCCGCGATTCGCTGTGCAGAGTTGCGTCGCCTGGGCACGCCAGAAACCTATGATTGTGGGTTCGAATCCCGGTTCGCCCCGATTATGTTTCTAGGTTTGTCAGCACCATACCCGTGCTCGTGGGTTTCACCGAAGTGGTAAACGTCTGAGACCTGCATCACTTCTGGCTTTCCTCCCACATTAAGCTGACACGCCGCGATATAACTGGAATACTGTTAAAAGCGGCGTTAAACCCAACTCACTCACTCACTCACTCATTTACTCTAGCCGAAAGAGAATGAATTGGTAGAGGCGCACACGTGGTCAGTTCAAGCAGGCACGGCGTGCACGAGAGGCATGTAATTGACCAAGCTTTTGGACGTAACCGTGGAGATGCTGGGGGCTTCGGAGGCTTTTTTTTATTTTCAGAACCTGGAAACATGACTCAAGCACGTCCCACATAGGATCGAAGAAGAAGTTGGAAATGCAAGGATAAGGATATAAATATAAAACTTATACTACAATTTCGAACACTATAAATAAATACCACTGGTTCCTAAAACAAATAAAATCTGAAGACTTAGAATCCCTCAGTCAAAAAGGCCAAATTCACGCCATCCGTGGCATGAAACGGACCAAAAAAACACCAAACATAAATAACTCAACAAACTCCAATAAATAAAGCAAATAATCTAGCAAACCATTTCTCAGCCAGTAGTAGCAATAACAACTTCAAAAAGGAATTCCAAAAACAACTACAAAATTAATATAAATTCTCCAAATTACCCAAAGACAATAACCTAGAAATAAACATCCCATGCGCAACAGAGGGACTGTTCCATGTACTAAATATTCGACAAAAAGGAATAGCCCCCGGACTAGATCTAACCTCATAACAAATAATTACAAAAATGCCCCAAGATCTTCAGGAATCACAACTAAAACTATACAATTTCGTCTACCAAAACGGTCAAGTCCCTACTTCATGGAAAGAGGCATTGGTGATCCAAGTACCAAAGCCAAACAAACCGGCAGACGAAGCTAATTCTTATATACAAATCTCCCTCACCTCAAACGTAAAGCCATGGAGGCAATGGTCAAAAACAGGCTCTAACACTATCTAGACCAAAATAACATAATAAACCAAGATCAAAGCGGTTTCACCCAAAACCGCTCTACCTTAGATAACCTCGCCCGCTTAGAACAATACTGAACCGCAAAAGAAACGCGAGTACTGTGTGACTGTGAAATATGGTTTATTCAAAAAGCGACAGAGAGGTCAATAAGTCTGAGACAGTTTTGCACGTTCTTGCTTTGGGCCGATCACACACATGGAAATGGTGGGGTGGGAAATGTCAGTACCTCGTATGCCCTCCCTGTGTGTTCAACACAGCCATACACCTACGGTACATGGAGTGTAGCAGGCGGTTCACGAAGGCCATAGGCACCTGTGCCCACACCCTGACGAAAGCTGCCTCCAGATCAGCACGAGTTCTTGGTGTTGGTACCACCTGGTTCAGCCGTCTCTGTATTTCATCCCACAGGTGCTCGATCGGGTTTAAATCCGGGCTCATAGCCGGTCATGGCATGGTTTGGATGTTGTGCTGGTGCAGGAAGTTCCTGGTGAGCCTGGCCGTGTGGGGACGCGCGTTGTCCTGCTGGAACACGTGGTTCTGGTGACGTGCGAAGTAGGGTACGATGTAAGGTCTCAGGATCTGGTCAATGTAGCGTTGCGCTGTGATGCCATTCCCCCTGCCAGCGCCAATATTGTGAAACACATGAGGGCCAATTCCATGATGCTCTGACCACCCCACGGGTCTCTTTCCACGACACAATGGTCCTGTTATAAGGTTAAAAGTGCATCTCAGAAACTAATGATAATAAATAGAACCCATTAGATATAGTTCGTGACAGAACTTGTAATTGGAAAGGAATCAATAGAGAAAAGACATTTCACATTTATCATTGGATTGGTCTCTGGCTATTGTCCATGAGTTAATGAAACAAATGGGGAATTACAAGATATAATCCATTTGGAGCTTCGGAGCGAGTCACAAAATCAATAGAGAGATGAGCAATCTGGCACGTAGGCTTTTGGTATTTTTCCGATGGCGACACACATGAGTTCATGGTCAGATCTAAACTTGTAACGAATCAAATGGAGGTATTGAGACATGTGACAAGGACAGGTCAGGCTCGAACACTATAAAATGATACCCTCAACATTAGGAGAGGAGAGCGCGGTTTGCAGTCGATCGAGTCGAATCCCGATCGTTCTAAGTTTCCACCAGCTAGTGACGAGCCTGGCCAGTCTGATCCTGTTCTGTAGTGATAGATGGGCTGAGAGTAAGTAAAACTATGTGAGTATAAACTGGTGTTGCGTTTCTTTATTATGCGGGTGTGCATGCTGATAGAGACAACTTGGAGTAAGGGTCATTAGGCCAATCAGTCCTCGACGGAGCCGAGCCGCGGCGGACAAGGCGAGGGCAATGGCCTGGCTTAATTGACCACAAGGACCAGGAACGGCAATACATTTAGTAACTGTAGCAGGGTCGCACTGGACGCCCGAAACCAGTTACGACAGTCCGTATAGCGTTCACCCCTCCTTCGCCACACCCTCACTCTCCCAACAGACGTGGATCCACAATACCGGCTCTCGTCAGAGAAGACAATTGTCCTCCATTGTTGATACCGCCAATGTCGGTGTTATGTAGCCCATTTAAGCCGTGCCTGGCGGTGGCGGGCGGTGAGGATGGGCACTCGAGCGGGCCGACGGCAATACAGGTTGTTGGTAGTCAGCCGACGTCCTTACCGTATCGTCACTGATCGGTCGCTTTCTAGTGCCAATGGTGTTTCGAGCTGTCACACTGGCTGGTCTAAAGCAATCCCGTAGGTGTTGGCTGTGGATGAACCGATCCTGCCTGGGCGTGGTCACTCGGGGGCGTCCACGTCGGGCGCGGTCTGCAGTACTGTTTGTGATGTTGTAGCGCTGCTGCAGACGGTGGATTGTGCTGACGTGAACATTGAAAGTGTTGGCCACAACCTGGGACCGTTGTCCAGCTTGTAATCGACCGATCGCTTGTTCTCTCTGTTGTGTGCATAATCGAGGCAAACCTGCCGCATCAAAATTACGAGTGCCAGAAAGGCAGTTCAAGTTGATTTTTATACCCATAGCCTCCATAAGTTACACGTGCATGTTGGTGTCCACGGCAAAGAATGGTAACTGTCACCCACGGCCTTGGACAAGGCTGCGTTGTGGCGACTAATTTCAGGCCTCGTTGTACCGTTCGATGGAATGTTGGTCTCACAAACGCATCAGGACGTCACGGAATATTCACACCTGCAGTCTTGACATATATTTTCCGCATTTTACCATATAAAATTAATATTTTACAATCTCGCGTTTCTTTTGCGGTTCAGTATATCAAAACGGGCCAACTGAACCGACAACACACAGTAGGGATATTATTATCTTAACAGTTGAAAGAGAAAAAATTTCAAAGGTCAATTCTTTAACCAATATTCATTTTAATATAACATCAAGCTACGCTGGTAAATCTTGACAGATGGTTAGTCATGTACACACACAATGAACAGTTTAATCAAACATGTAAATAAAAGCGACAAAAAACCATGTCCTTAATGATAAGAAATCTCTACTAAAAGCAGATCACATTGTACGATTCCGACTATATCATAAGCACGTGTTTATAATCACTATGACAGTAATGATATCAGGTGTTCGCGAAAATGTGAGCGTCTCCTGCCCCACTGATGGCATTCGTCACAAGCATGTGCAAATGCACGTAAAATCCGTTTAGTCCACGTAATCACAATCATGAATACTTTCCAGATCAGACTTATTTAAATTTATACCATATAGATAATAAAATAATATTTATAAGGTTACATTGCCTGTAGAACAGAACACCTAAAACCACATAAAGCCGATTTTGAAACGTTGTGTTGATACATGTTTAGATCATCGAAGAAGTGTTCTTTCTTCGAAGGTAGTCAGGCATTTGTGTACGGAGAAACCCGAACTCATATATAATGTACATACTTGAACAACGTTCTAACTTAAATCTCCGCCTCAACGACCAAAGCGTGATGGGGACTTCGATGAGAGCGTTGTGGATCCTGTGTCGGGTGGTTTCCTGTGTCGGGCTAGGGGTGGAGATGTTCGAGTCCCCAGCCGATGGCAGTGTGATGTTTGCCACTGTGATTGTGAACAATTTTTATCAGTGCTCTCGACTTTGTGTGGTCACTGGCGGGTGTCAGGCCCGAAAATATGACGCCGAGTTCCGCGAGTGCCATCTGTACATGGCGCCAGAACACATCACCCCCAGGGTCCCTGATGGTGACAACCTATCCCAGGAGGACACAGCAGATAAGGTGACGAGATACAGTTATTGACGTTATTTGATAAAAAATTTTAACACGTCCCATTTTAATTCTGGAAACCCTAAAGTCCAGAAACTCTACGGTCTTTGCCCAGTCTCGGTTAAAGGTATTTACAAAATTAAACATGCTGTTTTCATGGGAACATACCAAGGAAGAAAAAATGAAAAAAAAATTGTTCAAAAACCCAATATTTACACTATGTGTGGCCCATGGCCCACATCAATACGATGTACCGTGACATTATAAAGTGGTGTATAGGTAAATATAACACTATTCTATAGATGTAAACACATTTGAAGATACATCTGTGTGTTTATAGTTGATTTTGACCGCCCGGGCCAAGTCGGGAGCCAAACACTTCTGATAGAGACTATGTTGAGAATGTAGAGGGAAAAGGGCTTCACTTTGAGCCCCTTGTTTTCTTTAAATACCGCGATCTGAGACACTATAATGTGGTATTTAGGTACATATAATACTAATCTATAGATGTGAATCCATTTGATGATACATCTGTTAGGTTTAAGTTGATTTTGACAGCCCGGGACAAGTAGGACCGAACACCTGTGTGACTGTTGAGAGTATAGGGAGAAGAGGTCTACTTTAACCAACGTGTCCGCTTTCAATACGACGAACAGTGACATTAAAAAGTGGTATTTATTGAGATATAATACGTTCCTATAAATATAAACGCTATGCCGACAGATGGAAATTTATATCACGATAGCTAGAAGTATTTGATTCGTTTTAAATCTTATTTCGGTTAACGATTGCTCTTTTACAGGTTAGCTAGATCAGCGACGTTTACACACAGCTCCACTTTCTGGTTTTCAAGCGATTTACTCCGAATTACTTAATTATGGTGCACTTTTTTGTTTGGTGATTGTTCATTCATGTCATGTGTTTATATTGCATCAATTATATGAAGGTATGATCGCCGATAATGAAGTCATTAGCCAATAACCCTTTGGCCCGTCTTGGCCCGGCCCGACGTTTAGGCAATGCCCTACATGTATATTTTTTGTGGATACATGTATTACATATTTTCGTTGATATGTGGATATATTAAGCACAAAGGCACAAAAAGTTTATGAAAGATGAATTGGTGCCTTGATATATATATTCAACGAGAACGAATCTTGTATTTTCTCCGCGATCCGGATGTGTATCATCGTTTAATGGGTCATTCATTAAAAGTATGTTGTGAGGCGATATTAAAGGAGCCGCTCAATTTACACAGTGTCGTCCATTTCGCGTGAACTACCACCCTACCCTGTCAGTAAGAGTTATGTAATCGGTACACAAATATATTTGGTGCGATGTCAGTGTGGAAGGAGTTTGAATTACGTCCGCCACTGGCCACAGAAATCCTCAAAGTAGAGTAACAATCAACAAGGCCAATGCCGTACTAATAACCTAGTGACTCACGTAACAACGGCTGTCAATCTGTCTGCTACAGCTACCATACCATCATCCCTGTCACAACTGGCGTATTAACGGCTTATTCAAAATATTAATTGTAGAAACGTCGTTAACAGACTAAAGTACGTCGTATTCAGTCCCCAACTGGATGTTACCTTCCTTATATCATCTAACAGCCCTGTTTGTGAAAATATGTACTAGACATAAGATTTAAAGACTAATTAATTCAATTGTAAGACCGCACAGACCATAAAACCGAATAAAATATGTCTTGGTATCATCTCTTGTGTATTAGATGATGGTAATGACCTGAAATGTTATAACGTTAGATTAAGAAGGAGAAACACTAAAGTGTTTTACAATACTTGGAAACATGAGCAATAAGATGTAGCAGCATAAACATGCATGGAATAGGGAAAACTGAAACAAATTGAAAAGGATTTTAATACAAAATTATTAAACTAAATAAACATGAGTTTTGAGTAAAGGAACACATTCTCGCCCATGGGCCTGCCCATTGGCCTAACCTTTTTCTCGCCCATGGGCGAAATATTTCAATATCGCTATAAAATAGTTGAATTAAGTTAAAATGAGTTATATTTTGTGTCATGATACTTGAATGAATACATTTAATGTATTTGCGAAACAAAAACATGAGTTTTAAGTAAAGGAATATATTCTCGCCCATGGGCAGGCCCATGGGCCGAACTTCGCCCATGGGCAGGCCCATGGGCGACATAGTGTAAATATTAAGTTTTTAAACATTTTTTTAAATATTTTTTCTTCCTTGGTATGTTCCCATGAAAACAGCATGTTTAATTTTGTAAATAACTTTGACCGATACTGGGCAAAGACCGTAGAGTTTCTGGACTTTTGGGTTTCCAGAATTAAAATGGGACGTGTTTAATGTATACAATAAACATACACATGATAATTGAAAATTTTAAAGTAATCTCAAGATTCAAGAAAGGTGAATTCTATAACGTTGTACAGTCCTTCATGTAGCTGTGACATGTATTTGAGTGAAAAGGAAAAACGCTAAATTCCAGTGTCCCATAGACACAAAAATGTTGAACTTATTATGTAGTATATAGATAATCTCACCCTTCCAACTTTTTCAGTTTGTAGACAGTAATAAGCAGTGTCTTAGTGTAAAAAGTATTGCTAACCGATTCAGTAGCAGAGCCTTTGTGATGCCATTTGATTGTGACGTCATGTAACCAAAGAAGTCACAATGGTCTGCAAAGCATTGTCATGCAATTTCATTGCAGCGATATATACAAATTATCGCTTGATTTCACCCAGGCGATATCTCCTGTGAGAGCAAGTTTGTTTGAATGCAATTAAGTGTATTGAGTCTTTTTTTTTTTTCCATTTTTATAAATGAAGTAGCATCAGAAATCCATAACTATTGTGCAAACTGTATTCGGTTATATCCAGATGTTGTTCAACTCTTTCTTGTAGTGTTTGCAGTTGATATTATGATGTTCTCAAGCACAGCTGATGAGTTGTGAAAGCAAACTGATGTATAAGAAAGTTTCTGTGATGAATGGAAAGTAGAGTCAAAAACTGAAATAAGGGTATCAAAAGATAGTTGTAGATTTGCCAAATATTAGAAATGGTCATTTAAATGTGAAACTTTGGCTGTAACAACGCACTATAAACATGTTCCTCAAAAAAGAAACGCAAAGCCAGATTTGTGTGAGGTAGGAAAATACATTTATACGAGGAACCGTACAAGGTATTGAGACAAACTGTTGGAGATCCAGGGATCTGGAGGGCCAGGGGGAACATCAACGTTGTTGTTGTGTAGACAGGTTCTTGTGATCCATGCTGTATGGGGCCGAGCATTGTCCTGCTGGAATACACCGTTGCCGTTTGGTGCAGTTGGGAAGACGTGTGGTTGGAGAAATTCGTTGACGTATCATTGAGCCGTAAGATTGCCCTGGATATGGACCAAACTTCTCCTGCCATTATGAAAGATGTCCTGTCCCCTTCCTGTACGCAGTTTCTGGCGTAACGTTCTCCCCGACGTCTGTAGACCCGTGCTCTTCCATCCCCTCGACGGAGGAGAAATCTTGATTCGTCGCTTAACCAGACATCTCTCCATCGCAGTTGAGGCCATACCCTGTGTTGACGACACCAATGAATTTGTTAATGACGATGATGTCGACTCGTAGACCTGCTGATCTTGAACAGTTTCGTACGGTCTGGTTGGAGATTCTGCGCAGTCCGGGTATTTGGGATGGGGTTGAGGTGGCTGTGGTCGTCCTTTCACGTAGAGGGAGCAGTCGGATGTAGCGATCTTACGCTGGGGTGGTTACTCTTGGTCGTCCCGACCTTTGCCGATCACGTGTTGACCCATGCGAAACCGATCCCTTAGCCTTGTGATGGTGCTGGGCGCTTCATTGACAACCCTGGCTACAGCTGATCGGGATTCCCCTGCCTGCCTGCAAGCGGTCGTTGTTTCTTTGCACTTCCGTTAATCTTGGCATGTTGTTGAACTGTAACTGTTCGATTGGCGCAGATGTCAATCAAAAACCCTGCATCGTTCATAGTGCTGCTGCACGTGCAGCTCCATGGCCCTTTTGTTAATGCACTGGGTGCGTTTTTCCGAATCGTTCGTGTTACCCGACTAATGGTTTGCATGTCCTTGTTGTGATCATTTTGATCCGGGAAATTTGTCACTGACATTATAACACATGAAACCCCTCATTTTGTACCTCTGTTCCGCTAATTTATGGCCCAAAATATCCCTTTTGCGTTTCTTTTTTTTTGGAAAAGTATGTTTTGGTGTTCATTTCAGTAACATCTTAATTGGTCTATACATGCAAGAGTGGTCAAGAAGATTTGATTTGGTATAATGACGAACATAAACATTCTTGGTGATATAAGTTACAAGTGATTCTATAAGATTTTTTATGTTAAGATGATTCCAATTTTACTTTACTTGTTGGAGTATGGGGATTAAACCATTGATTTTAATCGAAAAACTTCACTTGTATGCATGTAAAAGATTTCTTGGTGCAAACATCGACACATTTAGATTGATGGTTTATGGCGAATGTGACAGATGTGAAATCATATATTCAATGATTAAAATGATTAAGTACTGACTGAATCTTCCTAAATTTAATTCTTTCAGTTACCCTGAGAAATGTTACAAAAACATGATGTTATACGATACGAATGATCCAAATATTATGAAATATCTACATGTGTCCATGTTCATATACCACACACTATTCTATGGAACCAAATTTGTAAATAATAGTTAAATGTACTGTGGTATGTACTATAGACATGTGGCCTCTCATGTGCCTTAACAAAGATTGATTGAATTATGTGCACACTATTGCAGTGTGGTGAATTCAAAACAATATAAAATAACTCATTGTTTACTATAACCAGTTTTACAATGGACCCGGATCAAAGTGATGTGAAATGCGATTATTGTCTTGTCAATCGAATTATTATTTGAGTCTTTCGTGCAGGTATACCTCTGTATGCTGGAGGCAAATCTATCCATTTGAACAGATAACGTTGAACCTGACATTCTTCTCATACGTTTAATGATCTATATACTTTCTACGCCATATCCGCTTGAGCTGATAGTATCAGTCGGGACCGTTTCTTAAGAAGTGTTAAAACATAAATCAAATATAATGACATGATCCTGTGTGAATGTGGCAGATTCCACTTGTTACCTGTTTACATTACAAGGGTCTCAAATGTCGGTGTAGAACTGTTCCTTCCCGTACCATGTTACCACACCAAAGCTGTATAGTGGGCGTATAGCTTGGGCAAGTAAGTGAAACATGTAGGTTTTGGTATGGATTTGGCTATGCCTGGTAAAGACAAGGAGTTGGTTATGTAATAACTTTATAAGATTGTTATCAGATACCTTACAACAGTCATGGCAGTCATCTGTCAATGATTCATAATGATGGTTCTGTTATAAACAGTTCAAACACACTAAAAAATAGAGAGATGTTTATGCTATTTAGATGCTTATTCTAAAGCAGTTGCAACACTGATCGTTACAAGGTGGGATATACCTTCCATACATTGTAAATCTAAAGGCTCATTCTTTCATGTTGAAAATGAAATGCATGTTTTGAGAACATTACTAACACACTAAAAAATAGAGAGATGTTTATGCTATTTTGATGCTTATTCTAAAGCAGTTGCAACACTGATCGTTACAAGGTGGGATATACCTTCCATACATTGTAAATCTAAAGGCTCATTCTTTCATGTTGAAAATGAAATGCATGTTTTAAGAACATTACCCCAACATTACGACAAAGTATATATCCAGGCACGTTATAGAGCCGAATACATTTAATACACTTATAAACTTTACAAATTCAATAACAACTATAATATATGTGACACTTCCTCATATTTATAACAATTAACCAAAATTGTAGAAAACAAGAAACCATGAACGTAAACTGTGCCCGATACATCTTATGTATGTTGGATCGGATGCCTTATAGTGAATGATATATTGTCTGAGAGGAAGAAAGTTTCTAAAGATAGTTTATTATATTTTATACTTGAAAGATAAAATATCTCTTGGCATCAAGAAAGATGTTATTTTGATATCCAAACATAAGGTTGAAAACTATTAGGATGATGGCTTCATTAAACCAGTTGTTTATCGAGAAGAATAAGTCACCCAGGTGTTATGTCACCAGACGTAATAAGGTGAATCCAGTCCTCGGTTCAGAATTACATAATGTACACGTAGTTGAGTCTATTATAGTCATCTAAAAGTTGATATTTGAATATGCTATTTGATAGATTTGTCTGTATTGTGCACCATTTCTGCATTTCCTGAAATGTGCGAATATAATGCTGCGTGATTAGGTTAGCTCTTTCATAATGCTGAGTTTACTATATGTGATAAAGTTTAAGACTATACGATCATTTAGAACACGTGACAATCTGTACTTTTGAAGAGAAATGATTCCGATAAATTATGAATGTCAACGATACAAGAAGATATATACTGGGGAGATTATAGGGGTTATGCTATATGAGTATATACTATGAACATATTTTATATATGCTACTTCTAGAGACAGATCTGTATCAGAACTTGTACCCGATCCTCTATAAGACCCTGTGTAAATACCCGTATCAGACCCTGCATCAGACGCTCCATAATACCCGCATAAGACCTTTATCAGACGCTATATAAATACCCGTATCAGACCCTGCATCAGACGCTCCATAATAACCGCATAAGACCTTTATCAGACGCTGTATAAATACACGTATGAGACCTTGCATCAGACGCTGTGTAAATACCCGTTTCAGACCCTGCATCAGACGCTCCATAATACCCGTATGAGACCTTTATCAGACGCTGTATAAATACCCGTATGAGACCTTGTATCAGACGATGTATAAATACCCGTATGAGACCTTTATCAGACGCTGTAAATAATACCCGTATCAGACCCTGCATCAGACGCTCCATGGTACCCGCATGAGACCTTTATCAGACGCTGTATAAATACCCGTATGAGACCTTGTATCAGACGATGTATAAATACCCGTATGAGACCTTTATCAGACGCTGTATAAATACCCGTATGAGACCTTGTATCATATGTTGTATGAATACACGTATGAGACCTTGCATCAGACGCTCCATAATACCCGCATAAGACCTTTATCAGACGCTGTATAAATACCCGTATCAGACCCTGCATCAGACGCTCCATAATACCCGCATAAGACCTTTATCAGATGCTGTATAAATACCCGTATGAGACCTTGTATCAGACGATGTATGAATACCCGTATGAGACCTTGTATTAGACGATGTATAAATACTCGTATGAGACCTTTATCAGACGCTGTATAAATACCCGTATGAGACCTTGTATCATATGTTGTATGAATACACGTATGAGACCTTGCATCAGACGCTCCATAATACCCGCATAAGACCTTTAACAGACGCTGTTTAAATACCCGTATGAGACCTTGTATCAGACGATGTATGAATACCCGTATGAGACCTTGTATCATATGTTGTATGAATACACGTATGAGATTTTGCATCAGACTCTATGTGATTACCCGGATCAAACCTTGTATCAGAACCTGTAAATATACCCGCGTGGTATCATCACAAGAATACATGGATGATCAGATACCTGCTATATTAGGGTTATACAGAGAAATATTAGACTAAGGGACACGGATATGTAGACCTAATGTGGTTGTGATGGATATTCTTACTGGACCAAGTACAATATAGGAGAGTGGTATCTATAAAGGTCTTATACAGGGTTAGATTCAAGAGGCTAATAAGATCATACTTTTTTTTATCATGAAACGAATCCTTGACGAATCTCTTCTTCCAGGTGTCACCGGGCCCTTGTCGGGGTCGCCCTTGCAGAAAGGATCAGATCTGTGTTGTTGCTGCGTCGGGAGATGGCCACGTGTGCTTGTCAGGTAAGGTCGTAGTCTTACACACTGGATGACACCTCAAACACACGCCAAAAGACTATCAATTGTGTTGGATCGCAAACTTTCCACATTTCAGTCTCATCAATCTTAGATTCAGTAAATGTTATTTTTATGAAGGAAATGTTTTGTAAAACCTGATTCAATCTGGTGGTTTAATGCCGAAATGGGTGTTCCACTGGGTGGGTTATACCGTTGTAAAACTGGAAGGAGAGCAGGGATGCTACCCACGTTGTGTGAGATATATGTAGGAATGTTCTCTCACCCCTTACCACGTCCCACCAACCCACCCCCACCCCCACCACCACCCCCCATCCCCGCCCCCCACCCGACTAGACCGCCGTTAACACGATTTTGCCATGAAAACAGTTTGGGTATCTGCATGGTTGGCGAGTTTTTAAACGGGGTGCCGGAATTTCAAAATACCTATGTCAAGTTTTCTCTTTCTAAGTCGGTGACATAATAATATATAAACGGAGGCATGTACTATAACTATGGGATCGTGCTCAGGATCCGATTGCGGCCGCCCCCCGCTGCGACCTACATTGGTTATGGCAGAGACAGGATGGAACGAAAGCTACTTGGGGGCATTGAGCGTGTACACGTGCGAGCTGGGTCACAACAAGACAGGGGGCAGCGGGGTCACTGTTTGTCAGGACAGTGGGCAGTGGTCACCTCCGACACTACAGTGTACAGGTAAACATACTACGATGTACAGGTAAACATAATTACAGTGTACAAATAAACATCCCAGCAATGTACAGGTTAACATCACTACGGTGTGCAGGTAAACATACTACGATGTACAGGTAAACATCACTCCACTGTACAGGTAAACATCACTACAGTGTACAGTAAACATTACTACAGGGTACAGGTAAACATTACTACAGTGTACAGGTAAACATTACTACAGTATACATGTAAAATCACTTCAGTGTGCAGGTAAACATCTCCAGAGTGTACAGATAAACATCACTAAAGTGTGCAGGTAAATATCGCTACAGTGTAAAGGTTATCATTACTACAGTTGTTACGTGTCGATTCCCAAATTGAAGGAATTAACCCAGAAATCTATACGTAAAAGAACCTACTAGTGTGAAACCAACAAACAACCAACAAGGTATACAATCAAGAAATGTATTACACAAATTAACTAGGGGTACAAATCAATACAAATTACTGCACAGCAATTACAATGGCAGGAACAAAAGAGTGGTAGTACAATATACAATGGCAGGAACAAAAGAGTGGTAGTACAATATACAATGGCAGGAACAAAAGAGTGGTAGTACAATATACAATGGCAGGAACAAAAGAGTGGTAGTACAATATACAATGGCAGGAACAAAAGAGTGGTAGTACAATATACAATGGCAGGAACAAAAGAGTGGTAGTACAATATTCAGTGGCAGGAACAAAAGAGTGGTAGTACAATATACAATGGCAGGAACAAAAGAGTGGTAGTACAATATTCAATGGCAGGAACAAAAGAGTGGTAGTACAATATACAATGGCAGGAACAAAAGAGTGGTAGTACAATATTCAATGGCAGGAACAAAAGAGTAGTAGTACAATATACAATGGCAGGAACAAAAGAGTGGTAGTACAATATACAATGGCAGGAACAAAAGAGTGGTAGTACAATATACAATGGCAGGAACAAAAGAGTGGTAGTACAATATTCAGTGGCAGGAACAAAAGAGTGGTAGTACAATATACAATGGCAGGAACAAAAGAGTGGTAGTACAATATACAATGGCAGGAACAAAAGAGTGGTAGTACAATATTCAGTGGCAATTTATAACATAATGGCAGTGGTGAGTATCAAACACAAACATACAGTGGTGATAGCAACAGTCAGGGATAATATTTTCTGTTCACCCAGCGGTGACAGTGAAAGCTCGTTCCGAAGCGATGAGAGACGAAATGTGTGACAGATACGTAAACACGCCCTTGTCTCCTCATATACAACCTACCTAGCAACTGGAATCTTCTATACAGTACCCTAAAAAAAGGACATACCCTCGCCCGCGGTAGAACGGACCGGTAGAGTTTACACACCACATCAGGTTCTACATATAGTAACTTCCTGACGACTGATCACTGTCCAAACACAATGGGCGTCTACCGAATGTCAACCAAAATCGATGTTACTGTTACAATCATTGTAAAATAACAAACTACACTGCCATATAATACATTGTACAGGTAAGCATCACTACAGTGAAAGGTAAACATCACTACAGTGTACAGTAAACATTACCAATGTTTATAGGTGAACATTGCTGTAATATACAGGTAAACATAACTGCTGTGTATAGGTAAAAATCACCAGATTAACATCAGTACATCACATACATCTGCTATCAATAAGGGTAACCTTTATATTTCTGATATAGTGACATGTGATATGTTTGTGTTTAGCCAGCTCGATATTTTTTCGACAATAAAAGTATTTGACAGTGGTATCAAAGAGAATGCTATTCTCACGTGACGAATACCCTCTTTTTAATTGATCTTCATGAAATAGCAATGTGTGAGTCTGTTTGTGAGTCTGACTCGTTGGTGAGGAGCACTCAGGACACCATAGTCACAATATCCAAACCAGGCTTCATAGATGACAAGTTCAGACAAAACGTTCCCATTTAAATATTGATATATACGTTTACATTTTCCCTCAGCGCGAGTAGCCTTTGATGCCCGGAATATGTCTTGTCAATAATTGACAATATTTCTAGTAGACCATTAGTGAACAATGAAATAGCACTTTGTCAAAATGAATGGAATAATGTGCAGGAAAATGAAGTCGATGATGATGAAGTCAAGTATGCTCACAAACCAGTTCGTTTGAGTGCCTACATTAGACACTAGAAACACTTGCACGAGCTTGCATTAAATTATTAAGATCCAGGTAATATGTGACCACACGTGACTATGTATCTTCTCTAAGTCCATGATCTAGATTCCTCTGTACCGTGAATGTATAAACATAGACGAATTGTGTCGTCCCTATTGACGTTGTATGTGATCTAGATTCCTCCTGACAGTGTTTATGTGAACAATATGAAGCTTCCCTACAGCAAATACACATAATCTAGATTTCTGTTGTCAGTGTAGGGGTAAACAAAAGCCATTATCATGCCTCCATGTCAGAATGATGAAATCTGATTGGTTCATGTGATCTTGATCTTGGTACAATTGAAACAAACAACACCTATCTTTTCTAACTCATATTAGAAGGTGGAAAAGTTATCCAGAATTATCTCTTTGAACAACTCAATTCATCGTCTATTTTTGTATCATCTTTTCTATAACATCTTTATCTTTATCATTTTTATCTTTATCATCTGTCTTCAACTTCTTTATCTTTATCTTCTTTATTTGTATCATCTTTATCTTGTTTAACTTTATAAAGTAATAGATACAGGTCATACTGATATATTACAACTACGATACGATTACAACACTACAATTGCAACAACAATAATATTGTTGATAATGCTAACTGCATTATTGTTTTAGTGGTGGATTGTGGGATTCCTGGCGCAAGAAGCAACACAGAGCCCAGCGTCCAGATGACCACCACATTCAACACGACGGTGACCTTCACGTGTTCTGCTGGCTACAGGAACCATGGCGGGGACGACACCATCACCTGTCTGGCGAACGGACAGTGGTCATCAACATCGTTGGACTGCCAAGGTACATTTTCCATATGGTTATATCATTGCAAACTTCCAGATCCGTTGAAGGATTGCATAAAAGAGGGTACCGTTGAAACAAACAACACCTATCTTTTCTAACTAACATGAGAAGGTGGAAAAGTTATCCAGAATTATCTCTTTGAACAACTCAATTCATCGTCTATTTTTTTTATCATCTTTATCTATAACATCTTTATCTTTATCATTTTTATCTTTATCATCTGTCTTCAACTTCTTTATCTTTATCTTCTTTATTTGTATCATCTTTATCTTGTTTAACTTTATAAAGTAATAGATACAGGTCATACTAATGTATTACAACTACGATACGAGCACAACACTACAATTGCAACAACATTAATATTGTTGATAATGCTAACTGCATTATTGTTTTAGTGGTGGATTGTGGGATTCCTGGCGCAAGAAGCAACGCAGAGCCCAGCGTCCAGATGACCACCACATTCAACACGACGGTGACCTTCACGTGTTCTGCTGGCTACCGGAACCATGGCGGGGACGACACCATCACCTGTCAGGCGAACGGACAGTGGTCATCAACATCGTTGGACTGCCAAGGTACATTTTCCATATGGTGATGTCATTGCAAACTTCCACATCCGTTGAAGGATTGCATAAAAGAGGGTACCGTTGAAACAAACAACACCTATCTTTTCTAACTCATATAAAAAGGTGGAAAAGTTATCCAGAATTATCTCTTGAACAACTCAATTCATCGTCTATTTTTTTTATCATCTTTATCTTTATCATTTTTATCTTTATCATCTGTCTTCAACTTCTTTATCTTTATCTTCTTTATTTGTATCATCTTTATCTTGTTTAACTTTATAAAGTAATAGATACAGGTCATACTAATGTATTACAACTACGATACGATTACAACACTACAATTGCAACAACATTAATATTGTTGATAATGCTAACTGCATTATTGTTTTAGTGGTGGATTGTGGGATTCCTGGCGCAAGAAGCAACGCAGAGCCCAGCGTCCAGATGACCACCACATTCAACACGACGGTGACCTTCACGTGTTCTGCTGGCTACAGGAACCATGGCGGGGACGACACCATCACCTGTCAGGCGAACGGACAGTGGTCATCAACATCGTTGGACTGCCAAGGTACATTTTCCATATGGTTATATCATTGCAAACTTCCACATCCGTTGAAGGATTGCATAAAAGAGGGTACCGTTGAAACAAACAACACCTATCTTTTCTAACTCATATAAAAAGGTGGAAAAGTTATCCAGAATTATCTCTTGAACAACTCAATTCATCGTCTATTTTTTTTATCATCTTTATCTTTATCATTTTTATCTTTATCATCTGTCTTCAACTTCTTTATCTTTATCTTCTTTATTTGTATCATCTTTATCTTGTTTAACTTTATAAAGTAATAGATACAGGTCATACTAATGTATTACAACTACGATACGATTACAACACTACAATTGCAACAACATTAATATTGTTGATAATGCTAACTGCATTATTGTTTTAGTGGTGGATTGTGGGATTCCTGTCGCAAGAAGCAACGCAGAGCCCAGCGTCCAGATGACCACCACATTCAACACGACGGTGACCTTCACGTGTTCTGCTGGCTACAGGAACCATGGCGGGGACGACACCATCACCTGTCTGGCGAACGGACAGTGGTCATCAACATCGTTGGACTGTCAGGGTATATTTTCCATATGGTTATATCATTGCAAACTTCCACATCCGTTGAAGGATTGCATAAAAGAGGGTACCGTTGAAACAAACAACACCTATCTTTTCTAACTCATATAAAAAGGTGGAAAAGTTATCCAGAATTATCTCTTGAACAACTCAATTCATCGTCTATTTTTTTTATCATCTTTATCTTTATCATTTTTATCTTTATCATCTGTCTTCAACTTCTTTATCTTTATCTTCTTTATTTGTATCATCTTTATCTTGTTTAACTTTATAAAGTAATAGATACAGGTCATACTAATGTATTACAACTACGATACGATTACAACACTACAATTGCAACAACATTAATATTGTTGATAATGCTAACTGCATTATTGTTTTAGTGGTGGATTGTGGGATTCCTGTCGCAAGAAGCAACGCAGAGCCCAGCGTCCAGATGACCACCACATTCAACACGACGGTGACCTTCACGTGTTCTGCTGGCTACAGGAACCATGGCGGGGACGACACCATCACCTGTCTGGCGAACGGACAGTGGTCATCAACATCGTTGGACTGTCAGGGTATATTTTCCATATGGTTATATCATTGCAAACTTCCACATCCGTTGAAGGATTGCATAAAAGAGGGTACCGTTGAAACAAACAACACCTATCTTTTCTAACTCATATAAGAAGGTGGAAAAGTTATCCAGAATTATCTCTTTGAACAACTCAATTCATCGTCTATTTTTTTATCATCTTTATCTATAACATCTTTATCTTTATCATTTTTATCTTTATCATCTGTCTTCAACTTCTTTATCTTTATCTTCTTTATTTGTATCATCTTTATCTTGTTTAACTTTATAAAGTAATAGATACAGGTCATACTAATGTATTACAACTACGATACGAGCACAACACTACAATTGCAACAACATTAATATTGTTGATAATGCTAACTGCATTATTGGTTTAGTGGTGGATTGTGGGATTCCTGGCGCAAGAAGCAACGCAGAGCCCAGCGTCCAGATGACCACCACATTCAACACGACGGTGACCTTCACGTGTTCTGCTGGCTACAGGAACCATGGCGGGGACGACACCATCACCTGTCTGGCGAACGGACAGTGGTCATCAACATCGTTGGACTGCCAAGGTACATTTTCCATATGGTTATATCATTGCAAACTTCCAGATCCGTTGAAGGATTGCATAAAATGAGGGTACCGTTGAAACAAACAACACCTATCTTTTCTAACTCATATTAGAAGGTGGAAAAGTTATCCAGAATTATCTCTTCATCTCACTTCATCGTCTATTTTTTATCATCTTTATCTTCAACAACTTTATCAATAACATCTTTATCTTTATAATTCTTTTCTTTATCATCTGTCTTCAACTTCTTTATCTTCAACATCTTTATCTATAACATCTTTATCTTTATAATTCTTTTCTTTATCATCTGTCTTCAACTTCTTTATCTTCAACATCTTTATCTATAACATCTTTATCTTTATAATTCTTTTCTTTATCATCTGTCTTCAACTTCTTTATCTTCAACATCTTTATCTATAACATCTTTATCTTTATAATTTTTTTCTTTATCATCTGTCTTCAACTTCTTTATCTTCAACATCTTTATCTTTATCACCTTTATCTTCTTTATTTGTATCATCTTTATCGGTTTCATCTGTATCTGTATAATCTTTAGGGCGTTTAAATACCTGACACCGATGGTCGGACCCTAAAGTCGTGTCATTAACAGTATACCAAGGTTTAGTTCTAATGCCTCGACCTGACATATATGTGTTAGTTTCATGCACTCAGCAATATTCCAGCTATATGACGGCAGTCTGTATGTCGGCCTGCCAAGGTAATCCAGTGATTGATATCATAGCATGACCGCCTCATCATGTCCATGACCACCTTATCCCGTGCCTCTCTAGCCTCTAACAACAATCATAGACTAATTCTTACCCGGATCTTCACGCCGATCGTTGTCATAATTTACTACATGCACAGGGCCAATGAGTGTTCTTGCGTCATCAACACACCTATCGCTGACAGTATCTGTGAATGACCTATCTTTGGTTGCAGTCATCCCCAACTGGATCACGACGAAGTCGCTGTCTGCTGGTCCGGCGAAGTTGACGTGTACTGACAGGATGTCCCCGGCCGGCAGTCTGGTGTCGGTGTCCTGTGAGGCTGATGAGATGCTGATAGGCTGCTCCTCAAAATCTGCGGTACTAACGTGTGTTTACGTCGTTATAACTACTGCTTTTATTCGGGCCAAGTACGTTCTTTTTGCCTAACCAGGTTGGCGCACCGAAATACAACTGAACTACTGTTTAAAGCGGCGTTAAAGCCACTTCATTCGCTCACTTCAAAATATGTTCGATTACTCAGTGCATATTTCCATCCCATCATGACATATAAAACCTGGATCCAATGCCCACCAATTCTTCGTTTGGAACCTGAATCGAATGATACCAAGATAGAATTAGCTGTCAATCAAATTAACATCTGCGAGAGAAATTCTGTTCTATGATCGTGATCATAAGAGGAGAGGTGACTTCAATCCTGAAACGATGATGTTGTGGTGAATCTGTCTAAGGCATTTATTATAATGAAAAGGATATAATACACTACATAATCGAGCATGGATATAGTATAATGACAGTGTAGTATCATTTGCAGCAACGCCTTTATTAGTTACCAATCAGTAAATCGACATTCTGACAGACCGTTCCCACAACGAGCTGACATGCCTTGGTATAGCTGGCTTTATTTAACCAACAACACTCGAAGGATCACTTTAGAGGATCGACATTATCGGTGTTAGTTTGACTAAAACGACTTCATACGTATATACTTCTTACAACCAAGGACGCCAACAGTGGTGTCAGTCATACACTAACAAGTGGGTTCACCTCGTCAACACTGCTATATTTACAGTCTTCAAGTGGCAAAAACAACGGCGTCAAAATAGTCATGGTCAAGGACACTCCTTTCTGCCAAATTGACACAACGAGCACAAGTAAGTCTTAAATGTAGCAGGTTTCGAATACTTATGATAAATCCATATGAACTATTAAAGTTAATTATGTACAAATTGTAACATCGGAGTTGTTTGAGATGAGTGTCCTGTCATATTCATTTGTGACAAGTACACACTACTAAAAACGAAACATTCACCCCATGCCAAGATAACTAATAACCAGTCATTGGTGAATATGTTAAACACTACAAATAGTGAGAACATAAAGTCTGTTTCTCTGTTCCTTAAGCATATGTTAATATAAGATCACACATGAGTACAATATCCTTTTACGTTAAAGTGTACTCTAGGCAATGAATAAAATGTCTGTCTTGCCCATTTCGATGTGTGCCAGTATGATGTTGCCTCGTTAATTTTTTTAAACATTTTTTTTATGTTTAAAATCCAAATGGTAACAGCACCAGTCCATCTAGTTTAAGTTTTCCATTCTATGATGGCATTTGTATGTTTATGTCTGAATAGCTGGCGCCTCAGCACAGTACGCCTCTGCTAGATGCTGTAAACAAGACGGACTACAGTGTGAATACCTCACTGATGGACCATCTAAGAACATCGATGATGCACATGTTCAGTCGGAATGTTTCAAGTCCTTTCAAGTCATGGGTATTGAACTATATTTCCGATCCATTGAAAAACTTACTTCAATATTTATTTGCGTTTATTGAAGTGTAATACCTCCGTAAACACAACGCAATATTGAAGTTAAATCTAATAGATAAATACGTCAATAATAATAACCTTTTCAGACTCCTTACTTAATCATTAACACAAAAGGCGGCAGACAACTATACGAAACCAGTGACATTGTTCAGTGCAGAAACGCAAAACAAGCCCTTCCACACAATTTTCAGCCAATAAGGAAACAGCAGTTCGCTAGTGGGCCTGGTCTTGTATAAATTAGGTTTATGGAAACATAAACGAAAGGTAAAATATGCAAGGATATGCACCATACACACTGATTCTTTAACAACTTTGAGCCTCTACTATCTGGAGGACGATTGTGTATTCCGCACCATATCCACCACACACTCAAACCCTCTCATGTCAACCTGGTTTCCTACTTAAGTATGCATTATGTACTATGTCCACTACGCTAAAGAACTATCCACCATGTCTACTTTTATCAGGATGTGGTGCGCATCAGCCTAATGGTTATCTGGATGGCGTAAGGATCAACCCCAGTTACTGCCATGCATACGCCGGTGGTTCCTCAGTTACAGGTAAAAAAGCAACGCGCGTGTGCGTGTGCGTGTGCGTGTGCGTGTGCGTGTGCGTGCGTGCCTACGTGTATCTTTGTTGTTTAACGCCGCATTCGGTATTATTCGTGCTATATGACGACAGCATTTATTTAATCGACAATACAGACAATCCAGTTATTGATATTATCAGCAACGCTCAACGCCGTCGGGTACGTTAACACGCCATCGTATCTGGGCCTGACCACCCGATCCATTAAGCATAAGCTGCTTTGGACCAATTTTAACCTGGAATCCCCACAAGTTCACAACTTAGTCGCCTCTTGCGACTGTGGACCCGAGAAGATCCGGGGTAGAATAGGTCTTCAGCAACCCGTGCTTGAAGTAAAAGGTGACTATGCTTGTCGTAAGCGGCGACTAACGGGATCGGGTGGCTCGCTGACTTGGTTGATGCATGTCATTGTATCCCAATTGTGTGGATCGATGCTCATGATGTCAATCACTAGGATTTTCTGGTCCAGACTCGATTATTAACAGACCGCCGTCATATAGCGGGAATATTGCTGCGTGCGGCGTTAAACAAACAAACAAACAAACAAATCTTAAGACTGTGGTGCTGAGGGCATATGCTACAAGGAATCTTAACTGGCCATATGATAAAAAGAAACACGCAACTAGCTAAGTCACAAGGAATCACGATCATTGCATCACTAAATTAGCTTCTATTTGTAGTTTGTACCAGCAGCTGGTATGATGGTACGCTATATTATCGCGGTAGTTAATTTATAATGGATCGTAATGGCGCACGCTTACAAACTTATTAAATATGCCATACGCAAAATATGTGTTGGTCTTTGTTCAACTTTTATGACACATCAATTAGGATTGATCGATGCTGATTTTCTTTATCGAGTTCGGTAAACAAAGTACCTGTCATTAGCGAATCAAGGGCGGGCAACTCTTTGTTACCGCGGTATGGCTTTTTTGTGGTGTGATACGTGTGGATTGTGTGGTTTACATCACTTCCTGTTTTGGTTTATGCCTAATCAGTATGCATACGACCTAGGTTCGGTCAAGGGACTTCGTCTAAACCAGTGGGTTCTTTTCTAATCAATTTCGAATGTAGGTAGGGGTAATTGCACTTCAAAAATATTCCAGAAACTATCATAAAAAAGTTAATGTGTGTACTTGCGAATAGCCGTGACATACCGCAACGTGTCTTGTATTCGATCATGCGAAACAGTCGACAGGGTGTGTGGATTACGAGATTTACCGATACCGCGATAATATAGAGCCCGCGATAATATAGAGTCATGCTATACGTCACGATTGAAGAAATATATACATTCCATATGAAATGTTATGAAGTTACCATAATTAAATGACCAATTGCAATGCTTTCATGATCAATTACTATATTTCAGGTCCAATTACTATAATTCATGACCAATTACTATAATTCATGAACAATTACTATAATTCATGAACAATTTCTATAATTCATAAACAATTACTATAATTCATGAACAATTACAATGTTATTGCAGGAGTGTGTTCTTATTGCAGGCGTGTATTCCTATGCCACCTGCTGCCGAGCCCCGGGTCTCTCGTGTAGCGTACACTCTGCAAAGCCTCAACCTGTGAATGGACTGCTGAAGGCGACATGTCCCGACGGCTTCACCCTCACTGGTTGTGGAGGACACAATCCATGGAAAGAAGCACGAGGCTCATATATAGCAGGTACAGTGAAAACAACAGAAGCAATGAATGCATTCATTTGAGAACTGACAGTTGGTAATATCAGCCGCATCCTATATAAGGTAAGATAAAGGAATTCTCTTACATTCATAACCATTCATTACCTAGAAGTCAGAGCACTGCAATATGCTCGCTTCTGGAATCCTCCACTTGCCCTAACTTAAGTACTACCTTTCACTTTTAATACTTTCAGACGACGGGGGTACCCCCACATGCCACGTGGAGAGTACGACTGACAGGCCGGACCGAACTACCGTATCCTACGTATGTTGTTGATGGGCGGACAGCATCAACTCTATATTTCAAGGAGTAGTAGTGCTTAGAGAAACACCGATATATCGACGATTTTTATCGATTAGCTTTCTGAATGTGTCCTATACGTATTTTTCTGCTTTTGTGAAAAACTTATAGCATTTGAATTGGTCAAAATTAGCTTTCTGAATGTGTCCTATACGTATTTTTCTGCTTTTGTGAAAAACTTATAGCATTTGAATTGGTCAAAATTAAATTTCCAGATAAAATCCTCTCTTCTTCAGTAACTATCGTGATAACATCTGCTGATGCTGAAGACGCTTTGAACAAAATAAGTTGTAGCAGCATCCCGCGGTAGGTTTTATACCACGAGCTAGAGGCATAAAACCACATCTACCCCGAGTGATACTGCTACAACGAATTAATCTTACCGACATGTTTTAATATGATAATTGTAGGAGAGGTTAAAACAAATTCAAAATTGATAGAAAACAGCTGTTCGATTCAGGCTGAGGTTAACGTGTGCTATGTCGCGTGACATTCATTAACTCGGTAAAAAGCGTGCGGCTAATTGCTTCGAAGCGGGTGTAAGGAATTTATTCTCCCGCTGAGAAAATCCACGTGCAGCCTGTTTTCTTCGTGGTGGAGTATAAGGGATATATTCTCCCGCTGAGAATTTTATTTCCCTCCATGGCTGGATACATCGTATTTTATCAAAATTGCGTGAACCAATCAGATCTCATCATTCATGATAAAGAGATGTTGTGCATTCTTGGTGTTAAAATGGGATTTAAAATGCCTCACTGACCCAGTAACAAATAACCAACTTAGCAACAATCTTTGAGCTTACATTTTGCAATAAGTTAAGAAAACTACAGTCAGAGTTTGAATGTGTATTCGTTTTTTCTGACTTGAATTTCACATTGGCCTGATATATGTACCTCACGTATGTGCAGTGTAGCAAAAACATTGTCTCTAAATCGAAATAAAGAACTGATAACGGTTGATGTGTTATTGTATTGTATATTGATGGTATTGTTTTACAAATGCAGCTAACTGACATTTTACAATTTTCCCAAATTTAACGGAATATAGCTCAATAGCTTCTGTCGATAATATTCAGCAAGAGGAGGGTGCTGTTTCACGTGTATGTTTCCTTCAGTAAATGTACCATTTAAAACAAAAAAGGAAAAGAGTATTCTAGTCCGAAACTGGTCATTATGTTTTAAATGATTTAGTCGAATGCTGGGTCGAAAGGAAATGTTTCTCTTTGTCTTGACGCTCAGAGAACAGTATTCTTTGTTGTTGATTAGCTTCGCTCCATACCCTATCTGCAAATGCGTTTGTTCTTTCATTTTATAAATATAAAATCTCAATGCAAGAGTGTGAAGAGCCTTGATTGTCCACCGAAACATATTCCATTTTGCGTAAAGGGTAAAATAGCTGTGAAAATAGTGTGAATGGACCACTGAAGATCACTGAGTGTTCTCGAAAAGGGTCATCATGTCCTGCCCTACCGGTACCTTCCGTTATTCACATAATGTGCATACGTGGAGACGAGGCAAGGTGTAGAGATGGAGATGTATATAAGGAGTTGTGGAGAGATAGAGATACGTGGAGACGGGGCAAGGTGTAGAGATAGAGGTGTATATAAGGAGTTGTGGAGAGATAGAGATACGTGGAGACGAGGTAAGGTGTAGAGATAGAGGTGTATATAAGGAGTTGTGGAGAGATAGAGATACGTGGAGACGAGGTAAGGTGTAGAGATAGAGGTGTATATAAGGAGTTGTGGAGAGATAGAGATACGTGGAGACGAGGTAAGGTGTAGAGATGGAGATGTATATAAGGAGTTGTGGAGAGATGGAGATACGTGGAGACGAGGCAAGGTGTAGAGATGGAGGTGTATATAAGGAGTTGTGGAGAGATAGAGATACGTGGAGACGAGGCAAGGTGTAGAGATGGAGGTGTATATAAGGAGTTGTGGAGAGATGGAGATACGTGGAGACGAGGTAAGGTGTAGAGATGGAGGTGTATATAAGGAGTTGTGGAGAGATAGAGATACGTGGAGACGAGGCAAGGTGTAGAGATGGAGGTGTATATAAGGAGTTGTGGAGAGATGGAGATACGTGGAGACGAGGTAAGGTGTAGAGATGGAGGTGTATATAAGGAGTTGTGGAGAGATGGAGGTACGTGGAGACGGGGCAAGGTGTAGAGATGGAGATACGTGGAGACGGGGCAAGGTATAGAGATGGAGATGTATATAAGGAGTTGTGGAGAGATGGAGGTACGTGGAGACGGGGCAAGGTGTAGAGATGGAGATGTATATAAGGAGTTGTGGAGAGATGGAGGTACGTGGAGACGGGGCAAGGTGGAGAGATGGAGGTACGTGGAGACGGGGCAAGGTGTAGAGATGGAGATGTATATAAGGAGTTGTGGAGAGATGGAGGTACGTGGAGACGGGGCAAGGTGGAGAGATGGAGGTACGTGGAGACGGGGCAAGGTGTAGAGATGGAGATGTATATAAGGAGTTGTGGAGAGATGGTGATGCGTGGAGACGAGGTAAGGTGTAGAGATGGGTTGTGTGTAAAGATTGATGGGTTTACAGATGGAGTTGGTGTAGAGAGTAAACCTTCAAATATTGTTCGAGTGAATTATTGCGGGGCAAACAAACAGCCTAAGAATATTTGTATCAAAGCCTGTTGTCAGTGATTGACAACCCACTCAAAACACTGGGCTCAACCCACGCCTCTTCACTCAATATATTTGCTAACACCAAAGAGTTCGCGTTTTGTTTAGTCATGGCAGAATGGAGATGAACATACTGTTTTTTTCAAAGTATGTATTCAGCGCTAAATTTAACATTTGAAACCTCACGCCTCGCATTCGGCTCCAAATTCAATTTAGCGCGGTTAAATCTACAGGTAATTAACCTAGCTCTACATTGAAAACAAAGTATGTTTATTTCTTAATTATAAGTGTTGTTGCTGCTTGATGAGTAGCCTCACATTTGACTTCTGCTACTGCCATAACTGTTTTTTCACCCACAGCTTACAACAGGTGCCTGGTGTTCCTCCATCATACAGTTTGGAAATGTTTCTTACATTCATGTTTGATAACATTGAAGGCCAATATCTCTCAGTGATATAAGTTTTATGATAGAAATTTGAGGAAGCAGTATCCATGATCTCAAGATCGATGTCTTGACTGCATCAATAAATGTGTGACCTCCATATAGGTTCAAGGTCACAGGACGTCACATAATGAAACTTTGCTCAAAACACAAGAAATTTGGATTTCATTCTTTTTAGTTGGAATTTGACAAAACTTGACACATGGTGTGATGAAGAGTTTATTGTGACACCGAACATAAATATTTACCATTTTCGTGAATATAAAAACCACGGTTATGATACTGACAGACCAAGGGTCATAGTCGGGGAGAAACAGGGATTCGAAACAGATCAGGGACGCAACCCTGCACAACGAGATAGGAGACTATACTCTCTTGCACCCCGGTATCTACGATAGGAAGAATAAGCGAGAAATGCAGGAAAAAGACCATTATTTACAAACGCCCACGGCACACAATTGTGAACAGCATGGTAAAATAAATTTGCATAATAAATAAAAAAAATGAAATGGGAACATAATAAGTGTAACATATTTATTTATTTAAGGATTGACTGTGGATTTTATTATGGATCGAAAAACCGACGTGCAAACTGTATGAATCCGCGTAGCTAATCGGAATCAGCTTATCAGAATGCACGAATTACAATGAACACAACGACAATTTAATTATATAAACATGACATTAGGCCTGCTTACAAATCAAGAAATTGAGCTATATTTAAATAAATTATCAACTCAAATAATCCACAGTTTATCTAATATAACGTAATCCACAAGCACCTAAGTGCCTCATAAACATGTCTAGATCTGCGATCCAATAATTGAAACTTTCAGGTCTGTTTGTTCGTTGTTTGACGCCCAACTCGGCAATATTACACCTATATGATGGTCGTCTGTATACAATCGAATCTGGACCAGGCAAACCAATCCAGATCTACAGCATTGGGACACGATGACATGCATCAACCAAGTCAGCAAGCCAAGTCCCGTTAGTCGCTTCTTACGACCAGCATTGGTTGCTGAAGACCAATTCTAACCCTGACCTTCTCGGGGAAATTTTATGTCGGGGGTGGGAGGGGGGGGGGGGGGGGGGGGGGGGGGGGGGTGGGGGGGTGGGGGGGGGGGGGGGGGTGTAGCTAAGTGGTAAAAGCGTTGACTCATCACGCCGAAGGCCCGGGTTCGTCTCCTCCCATGGGTATATTACGTAAAGCCCATTTCTGCTGTCCACTGTGATGTTGCTAGAATATTGCTAAAAGTGGCTTAAAACCATACTCACTCACTTATGTAACTATACATTTGCCAATGATTAATCTACTGAGGCTATTGTCATGGATGGAAACACTAATCCATATTGTTCCTGGATATAGTCCTACGATATCTTCTGAAGACATTTCATTGAGTATGCGCTTGTAAGGTTATAATTAAGAATTGACTTTCACTTTGTGTTGGAGTATGAACCTCCAAAGAATGAGGGTGGAGAGTGGAAGTAGTCCGTCAGTGTTTACGTCATATAAAGAACACGGTCTCGTGAAAAAAAGCATGAACGTCAAATTGCGTCATCAATACCGCTGTTTATCGTTATGTAAACATCAAATTGAAAAAAAACATTATTATGTGTTATGGCAAATTGCGTCGGTCATACAGCTGTTTATCGTTATGTAAACATCAAATTAAAAAAAACATTATTATGTGTTATGGCAAATTGCGTCGGTCATACAGCTGTTTATCGTTATATAAACTTCAAATTAAAAAAACCCATTATTATGTGTTATGGCAAATTGCGTCGGTCATACAGCTGTTTATCGTTATGTAAACTTCAAATTAAAAACATTTATCTTATCAGTATGCAGATGTCCAGGCAGGTAATATATACAGTGTAGATGGTCGGGTAACATTCACCTGAAGACACACACGATGTCGGACCGTGTTTTACTGGCAGTGCTCGGACTGTCCTATTGCCTGCTTCTGGTGGGGAGTGATGCGGAAATGTTCAAAGACCCTGGTTTCGAGAGTCCCGACATCCACTCTAGTTGGACAGCCAGAGGATGTCAGATGCGTTCGTCAACTGATCATGTGGAGGGAAAGCACTCGGTGGAAATCTCATCACGGTAAGGGCAACGCTGATCATCAAGCTGGGTCCATCTCTGACCCTGACATAATCGGTACGTTTCGCTATTCCTTGCGCGATTGGCTGAGAAGGTATAGTTTGAAAATGTGTGTCTGTTAGCCAGCGATAATAGTGATAACGTATTAAACCTTGAGCTATTTTAGGTGCTATCATATACGTACCTTTTAAAAATACAAAACGGCCATCTA